TTAATTTGCATATTTTTTGATTTATTGGCCACATTACAAAGTATCGAAAATTGCATTTTCAAGCCTCTTTAGCTCTAAACCACTTCTCTTCACTTTGCATTTACCTTAATGACTTAATTACCATTGCAAATGCCAAATGTATATGGTTCAAAAATAAATCTAGAATACGATTTGTGTTGGCAATTAATTACCAATAATTGCAAACTTATGTGGCTAATTTAAGCGCAAATTGATTTAGCCACAAAAAGCAAATGCAAATCGACAATCCTGTGTGATAACGTACGAACCATTATGAATCGATCATAGACGAATCTATCCACCCACACACACACGCGCGCGTGTTCATTCAAAATTCCGTATGGAAATTGAATTAAGAGTGAGATGGAACATTTGATTTCTCGGAAATGAATTTTCATAATATAAATCATCCGATTCGACTGTTATTGAAATGAAAACCAAATTGACACAGGGGCACGCGCATATGTGCCCTTCTGTATGAGTTCAATATTAACAAAATGACTTTTTGACATAAACAATCACACATCTTGTGCCAATTGTTTCAAATTCTAAACATTCGCTAACTCGTTCGCTAATTGTGTTCACACTGTGATTTAAAGCTCATCAGAAGCCTAAAGCACTCGCTTAAAGTATATTTTTCATTCATTTATTTTTGTTTGGGTTTATGGATATATATCGTGTTGTTGATTGTTTTTATTTGTATAGTGTGTATCGAATAGTTCTTTTTGTTTCACTTTGGAAATTAATGTATTGAATATAATCGCAGATAAAATTGAATAACATTATATATATAAATGAATTGTCATCATCGGCATTGATCAAACTAACGATCAAATTGATGTAAATGGTATAATTGCACTCAGATAAACGACCAAACACGAAACCAGAAAATTTAGTTTGAAAGTGCATTCGCGTGTGCAACAAAAAAGAACCAGAATTTTGTGTGCGTGATAATACAATGTGGACTAATCACCATGAACTACCTGATAAATATCCCACGTAAATTGAGACAATGGAAAACGAATTCACCGATTTTTTAAATCAAAATTGGAATGATAAATATAAAGCCGGTGTAACGTCATCGTCTTTACATCTGAACAGTAGTGGTAATGGTGCTCCAAATTCGACATCATCGTCCTCAACATCGTCAACAGCAATCGCAGCAGCGGCAGCGCTGAATCACGTCGCATTGCAACAATATCATCAACAAACAATTCGTGGCAGTAGCAGTGGTGGAGGTTGTTCAGGTGGTGGTGGTGCCACCACTGCTACACCATCATCATCTAACTATGAAAATATTCGATTGGCATTTATGCAACATCGACAACAAACACAGTCTATAGCTGCTGTTGCTGCTGCTGCCGCTGCAGCTGCTGCTCAGGCACAGCATGCCACCACAAATTCATCACTTCCGATTCAACGGAATCCATCAACAACTGCCGCATGTCCAAAACTAATCGATATCCACAGCATTAAAGGCAACAATGCCGCACTACCCTTCGATTGTCAAAGTAAACCGTTTCACTTTTACACTCCCTTTTTTATTATTCGCAAACATTGTTTGCTCGCGATTACCCCCATTTTTCTACCACTTCTTTTTTTTTTCTCTCTCTATCTCTCGATTCGGCCACTGTATTACATTTTCGATCGTGTAATTTCAATGATCCAAAAATGGAAACAAAAAAATTACGTGACATGAAAATGCTTTGGATTCGATTCGAAAGGTTTCATTTCACAAAATGTCGCACTCATAAGTGACAATAATCATGCGTTTCAGTTGACAGCACAATACCAGCACCAACCGCATCTTCGTCTACATCGTCATCATCATCGGCTACATTACATCATTCGGTCGGCGATCAGGATAAAAAAGCCGCCAACTCAATTCGAGGTATATAATCGAAAATTATGTTGTTCGCATCGATTTGTTTGTGTGTGTTTGTGTTTTTTTCACTCTGCTCGACTAGAAATGTATAAATATTGATGATTCATGAGTTATTCGGTTTATTTTCTATCGTTATTGCAGGCTAAAGTGTTTGTGTTTTTTTTTCTTCGAATTTTTCAGCGCAAAATTTTTGCGTAAACAACAGCATTGTCTTCAGAGGAAAATGTCGTGCATAATAATGCAGTCTTTGTCTCTATCGTATGATTTTTTTGTGTATGTGTCTGTGTTTTTCTGTCGCAATGGGCTACTGCACGGTTTTCGAGTCAACATCACCTCCACACGACTTTTATCCACTTCATTATAAATGCGAAGGAACACTTGACCTGCTGTGTAGTTATGCGCTGCTATTTATTTTGAATGCCCTCCGAACTTTCTGTTTGCAATCGATAATTATCATTTTATGCAATATATTTTCAAGCATTTTGTGTTCGTGCGCTCCATTCGATTTCAAATCAACTTAATTACTCTTGTGCGCTCTCTCAATTCCATTGCGCCAGTGTAATCTCATTTTAGTTTTTTTTTTCAACATCTTTTTCCTCTCGAGTATCTTTTCAACTAGTTTTTTTTCGATAGTTCTCTGTTGTTTTTATTCGTGGCCAATTTACAGAAGTGTGTTGAGATTCAATAGGCTCATTTGAATTTCGTGCCAAACGAAAAATCTTGTCGACAGCGAAAAAAAACTACCGTAATTAATTGCAGAATTCTAATTATACGACTGATTTGTGGTGATTTTTTTTTCAGTTTAGTCAGTTCATTGACTTGGTCCGATACAAATTGGCAAATGCGAGCACATTTTAGTTGCTGGAATTCACCGAAGAAAAAAGTTTTCGAAGTGAATTTATACAGCTAAATAGAATAAACAAAAAAATGTTTTAATTGGAAAATTGCATCACAAACACACTCGCTTCCACAATATTTGCATATTCGATGTATTTTTTTTTAAGTTTTGGATGGATATTTTTAGAGTTTTTTTTGTCCGTTGTTGGTTTCTGTTTTGAAATTACGTAATAGTAAATAATAAGGCAAAAAAATATGCTTTTTAAATATTGATTTGGGGCAATGACATCTCGCAATCAAAAAAAAAACTTAATGAAAAAAGAAATTGCATTTGCACAACAGAAAAAAAATTCTTGAGAAAAAAAATATGATCGTATTATAAATGAATGGCAAAAAAAACGAGTAAATTGACAAAAAATGAATTATGCTGATAACATCGATTCGTCATTTTTGACCAGTTTTTTTCTGTTTTCATTTTTTTATTGTTATTGTTGAAGTTTGATATATTCTTGACCTATTACAACACCTCGAACAGTAAACTCATTGAATATCAGGCTTTTATTCATTTTGCAAAGTTCAACGACAAAATGAAAATGCGCGTCTCATCGTTCGCAATATGATCCGGAAGGAAAGTAAACAATTCGAATTTAATTAATTGTAAACATAATGAATATTGGAGATTGAGCTCTGCTCAAAAAGTTGCCACGTCTAAAGCTGTGTGTGATTTTACAAGAGAAGTTTCACAGATTTATTTTCGGCGCCCTTTTGTTAGTTCAAGCAAAAATGCAAACATTTGAAAATCATTTTAAGCCGTGACCGTGGCTGGTTTATGTTTTTCATGTTCGTTGAACACTCGAATATTCTTCGGACTATTTCCGAATTAAAAAAAAGAACATTCTATTGACAATTGTTTTATTTTTGGACTGTTATTAAAATGGTCCGATGAAGCAAAAACAAAAAAACGCCATCATAATAGTTTAAAGGAAATCCACAGACAATAAAAAAATGAATATAGTTGCACAATGCACATGTATTTTTAACATGTTGATAGTTTTGGCTCAATTTTTATGTGTATGGCACATCGAATGCAAAAATGCCCGATTTTTCCCAGTAATTTTTTTCGACAAAATATTCATAGAAGCTCATTTTTTTCTGCAGTGCACATACACATTCACAACATATGCACGGTATTAATAACATAAAATCGGACCGGGTAACTGACTTGAAATGTATCGGATTTTATTATTTGTTTGTGTTTCTCTCCCTTTGCGCTCTCTCATTCGATTCTCGATTTTGTTTACTCTCTCATTTTTTCTCTGATACCGCCGATACGGTGTTGTGTGTGTGTGTGCATGCATGTGTTTTTGCACCATACGATATTTCTCTTAGATTCGCAATTTTTTTTCCTCTCTACTTTAGTGTTTCACATTTAAGCGTCGAATTATCGCTTTTCAGCTGGAAACCATTTAAACAAACAATTCCACAAAAAGACCTGTGTTGAAACAACAATAAACGGAGAAAAAAAAATATAGAACCAAAATAAATCGTTAAACCCTGTAAATAATTTGCAAATAAAAAGACTTTTTTTCATTGTTGATATTGATGAAAATTTCATGTATGTATTTTTTTCTTGTTTGAACCATTTTCTCGTATGCAAATATGTTGCAATAAAAAAAAGCCCACTTTTGCTCACACACACACACACGTGCGCGAAAAAAAGCCAACGTTTGGGATAATCGAAAAAAGATATGTGTGAATGACACTTTGACGTTTGCTCAAGCCAGCGATAACAAGTCGTTTTTTTTTTTGTTGGTCGTTCAAGTATTTTGTCATAAAAATTAACACCACGAAATCTCGTCGACCAAAATTTATTTCGCTAATTTTTCTCGCTCGTGTTGCAATATTTACACAAATTTAACACGTTCAATCACGTAATTGTGGATTTTATTGTTTCGGGAATTGACGAAATTACCAGAAAAATGGATGACGAATCGCGTATCATGCATGTACAGTGAGAGAGCGTGGTATGAACACTCCATCTCGCTCGCGTGAACATTTTGACACATTCACACACTAAGTCTAGTGCATTTTTATTACTTACTTTACAGCTTCCTATTTTCGCGATATAGAGTTCGTTCATAATAAAAATAGCAATCGATTTGACCATTGTATATTTATAGCTATTTTTCTCATCAAATTTTTTTTAAGAGTCTTTTTTTCTTCGTTACTAATTTTTTTCGTCTTTTTTTTTCACCTACAGCTCAAATAGAAATAATCCCATGCAAAGTGTGCGGCGATAAATCATCGGGCGTACATTATGGAGTGATAACGTGCGAAGGATGTAAAGGATTTTTTCGACGATCACAGAGCTCGGTGGTGAACTATCAATGTCCGCGAAACAAACAATGTGTGGTGGATCGAGTAAATCGAAACCGATGTCAATACTGTCGACTGCAAAAGTGCCTCAAATTAGGAATGAGTCGTGACGGTAAGTTATCGCTTATTATTATTATTTTTTTGTGTTTTTTTGTTTGTGATATTTTTTTCTCTATCTATCTGCATTCGTTCAATTCATTCGCTGTGCGATGCATTAAGTTCGTGTCATGGGCTTTTGTTCTTGAAAATAATAAACAAGCAAAACAATAATGTAATGTACACGGACCGTGCAACCGAAAAAAAAAACGAACAAACTGCAAATAAAAATTGCATTGCTTTTGGCAGTTCAAAGGTTCATAACGCGGCACTCGAAATGCATCGCGTATTAAATTTGTGATAAAATTTGCAAAGAGACACAGTTTCACAAGAAATCCATGCAGCGACACTCGAAAAAAATAATACCAAAAAATAATCATTGTAAGCGAGAACCTGATGTGGGTAACAATACAGTAAATCCGATAAAATAACTGTATACGAACACTGCTCTTAGTGCTGAATGGAACATTTTCGTTTTCGTTTCGATTGTTACCGTTTTTTTTAATGTTGTATTGTTTTTGTGGATTCGCTTTTTTTTCACGATTTTTTTTCAATAGCATGTGTGTTTGTTGCCCATATCCATGGATTGACACAATCATATATACACCGCGTAAAACAGTACAGAAATAAATAAGAATGTGCCATTTAATATTAATTCGCTCCTTGGATGCGAGAGAGTGGCTTCGTTATTATCTTTGACTCGCATTTAAATGACAATGTTATCGTTTTCTGCAAAAAAATATTTTTTTTTTTGTTTTCAAGAAAAACAATATGTTTACACAACAAAACATGTAACAGCACTTACACAAATCGACGCGCATACAACAGGAACATGGAAAAAAAAAGAGAGTGCTATTTTGCTTCAACGGCAACAACAACCGTGTCCAATGTGATCAAATTGCACATTGTTCTCACTCTATCTCTTTCTGAACTAATGCAATTTTACTTACGTCTTACAACGTCGCCATTGATAGCACGTTCACCAAATAAATACTACGACGAAATACACGACCGAAAAAGAAGATGAAAAAACAAATTGTATGAGAATTGTACACCGCATATTATTATATTTTGGAGGAAAAAGATGTGCTTTTTGTTCGATCGGTTATTAATATATATATACACAGTTATAAATAGTTAGAATGATTCTGTTGTTTACAAATAAGTCGCATCGAAATTCTAATGACTTTTTTTCGACGTCGACGATGTCGATACGATTGCATCAACTAAAACACATACGAAACAGTTTTACATTTAGTGAATAGAATAGCACACAAACCACTTCTGAGTATAGTATACCAAAATAAATTTAAAAAAAATGGTGTACTGTAGCCAAAACAAAAAAAGTAGTCGCAGTGTGCTAAATTGATAGAAATGCATGGATAAAATGGATATTATTCTCGGAATCAAAGCACCATATTCACGTATTTCGGCTGTTAAAAATTACATTTCTTTTATTCATTTTATTGTCGTTGCGAATACAATTTGCTACTTTTCGTTATTTTTAATGTCTTCTTTTATGGGCAGCATATGCGCAATATTGAATTTCGGCATTCCATAACATCGTACTGAGGCCCGTTACATTCGGTGCCTTCCGCAATTGTTTTAACTTGATTTTGAAGCAATTTTACAAAAGTTTTGCAAAACTATCATTACTCGATGCCAGCCGTTTTCAATATATCAATGTATAAAATCATCTTAAATGTATTATCCCAAATGTCCATATATATTTTTATGTATCGAGTTTAAAATATTTCAAATCATTCAGCCAAACGATTGCTGGCAAAATGCTTGGAAAATCTACAAAATATTTGGAAACAAATGTTCAAAGATTTGATTAGAATTCTTACGATTGGAATAGTTTCGAAAAAAGTCCAGATTTTGAAGAAAAAACCACATGGACATTCTTAAAAATAATGCAACACGACCCAAAATATTTGATCAGTAGGCATTCAACCGTTCTGCAACCCTGCATTCTTGTTGATTTCAATCGAAATTTTCTACTATCACATTAGTGTATGGACGCAATGGGCTCAGTTTACTCTTTATCTTCCACATTTTTCTCTTGATTCGCATGTGTCCTTTGAGCAAATATATTGATTAAACATTTATTCAAATCCGATTGGTTCAATTATGTGCTTGGATTTTATGTAAAGATCCATACATCACAAAAATTATTATTATCACGTTCGATCAACATTGAAAATCACAGAAAAAAGTATGACAATTTAAATAAGCCGGAAAAATGACATTTTCTGTGATTCAAATGCTCCAATTTTTCCAATAAAAATTGTATTAAGCTCGCATTTGCTGAAACATATTAAACATTTATAACAGAGTGAAAGTTTCCAACCGCTGTGATATTATTCAATCAACTTTAATGCTAACATAAATACACAATGAACCGTTGCCGTTTTGTCTTCGCCATAGTCACCGTGGTTGTCATCTCAGAATTTTGATTTCAGCATAGGTTTTTTTTTTGAGAATGATATCATCCGATGAAAACTTTCCATAATCACTTCTTGTTTAAGCGTAAATTCATAATTGTCCAAAGAAAAGTACATTTTGTGTTTGATAGACATTAAAATTCAGTTCAGTTCGCTGCATGAGATAGCTGTAGCCGTAATTTTCCGGCAGCAAAGGAAAGAAAGAGAAAGAGAAAGAAAAAAAAATCGGTTACAACATCAAATTAATTTTTAACATTTTGTTTCGGGTAATATATCAAATTACATATTGCATTTTATTTGTCTTGGTCGCATGGATCCCATATTATTATCATTTACAAAGAAAGGCAAACAGACAACAGAGAGATGTAAATAAAATGTCGTAATATGCACGAAAAAAAAACGAACGTACACCGAAAAAAAACGTTCAAATTTGCTTTATCAATGGAGTGTATGAGCGAAATTTGAACGTCGCTTTGACGATGATAACAGTTGAAAATGAATTGTTATTTCGTGTTTCGTGTGTATGGATCCATTCGAATTGCTTTCGATTAAAACAAAGTAGTAGGAACATGGAAAAGAAAGAGAGTTCATTGATCGATTATGTAATTACTTGTGCTGTGTATGGTCGTATTTCGTTGGATCTTTACTTTTTCATTTATTTTTGAATGGGCAAACGGCACTTAAAGCAACTTTATCAAATGACGATCACATTGAAAAATTCATTTGAAAGGCGATTCACGACCGTATTCATCAAAAGCTCTAAAAAACCACAAAATTGCATTGATTGTGATAAGAGATTATAAATAGTATATTTATATACATGCGAACAAAGGAAATAAATACACGGTAAAATCCACTGAAAAGAGAACGCCACATACACACACACACGCGCAATTTTGGGATATTCGGCCTTTCTCGTGTGTGTATATTTTAATGACACATCAATTCGCATCACGCTGAATAAATAAAAGCCCCGATAATTTTGTTTCTCTTGTAAATGAAAGTAAATAAATAAACAGTTTCATGACGTCAGGCGGTGGAAAAAAACGAGCACTGCCAAAAAAACCGCAAAATTGGTGTTTTTTTTAAATGAAAATTCCAATCATTTCGTTTATTTAGGAATTTTTCTGCTAAAAAAGTTGAATAAAAAAAAGCAGCATTGAAGAAAGTTCAAAATACTATGCCCGATTGTAATAACCGCTACAAAGCGTATCGCAAAATCCGAATATGATTGCAACGCATTTTAGTTGCTTTGGGCCAATCGCAGTTCGCTATATTGATATGCGTACGATGCATCCTTTTTGAACATCGAAACAGCCAAAAGTATTATCTTAACAATTGTCAAAATTCGTTTCCATTTGGGCATTTCGAGTTGTTACTTTTCATGTCGTATTTGACAAGTTGATGTGTCAGGTTCTCTTCAGATCTCGAAAATGATCGTTGAATTTTGACTTCAAAACACCATAGAGCATGCGGTTCATGAAAATTGACTGATGATAGCAAACAAAAAAAACTCCGTAGACAAGATGCAATTAACAATGCACATGTACACCGTATTACATATGTGAAGCGATACAAAGAAATAAAGTCTATTTTTGAATATTCGCAACAATTTAAGGATTTTGCATTTATTTTGTGTAACATGTATTTAATGTAAAGATGATTGATGACAAGATGATGATATAACTTGAATTTTGAAAATGAATGAACGGAGAGAAAGAGCAAAATTAAATGCACATATAACATTGGCTGAACATATGCAATTCTTATGTTAATTTCCTCCTTATTTCTTTCTGTATTTCTTTTGTCTTTTTGAATAGTTTTGAATGGAATATATTCTTTAACCGAGTCAAATAAAGACAGAAAAAGAAATGATCATATATATATTTTCAATTGTGGGGCATCATCAATTACGAATGAAAAAAATATTTTTTGTTAAAAAATAGTTTCCCAAAAAGTCATATTTGTATCTTCTTTCGCCTTTTTTCGCCAAAACTCTTGATGATTTTTTTGTCTTCGTGACGACTGGTTGAAATAAGTTATTTTGTGGTTTTGACAAACAAAACGGGTAACATATGCTTATTCTTGCCCGCAACACTCTCATCACAATATTTTCGTTTTGGATTTTCTTCGCCACACCATCCAATGTGATTTTTGCTGCCTTTTTAACTACTAAATTGTTTGGCTCAAGTATATCTATCAAATTAGATTCTTATAATGTCATCAGTTTGGAATGCCAGATGTTGATAAATCCATAAATTGCAACAAAATTCTTTGCAGACCAATGTGCTCGCTTGCATACATACGTGCTATGCGGCAGTATAAGACATTGTCAATTGAAAAATGCTTAAAATTCCAATAAATTTTCTACAAATTGCATTGCAACTCTTTCGTACAAATTGTACTGAGAATCATTTGTGCCATTCGTAAAAGGAGCCGACCCAAAAACCAAACAATAATGGCAATATTGCCCCAACGACGTATTTGAACATCTTCGCAGAAGTAGAAGCAGCATGTATAGCAGTGTGCATTATGAAACACACAAAAAAAAAACAACAGAATCGCCTGAGTTGGATCCAAAACCAGAACCTTAACTGAAGAAAGATAACAAAAAAAGACTAGCGCATAGCAAAGCACATATGAAACGAATAAACATAAAATAGAGACAGAACGAAAGAGGAAAAAATGAGATAGAAAAAAGAAGAAGACTCACACATAAAATCGAGTGTACTTCTCTGTGCGTCGAACTGAAGTAAAACGAAGTGTATGCAACATTATATATATATAAAAAACTGAACCGTCTATCTAACTGTTCACTGACACAGTGCCTTTAAAATTAATTTCTTCCATTATTTGATATGAATGAGTATGATGCAATGAAATATGCGCGCACCACTGACTATATATACGAGAATGGAATTGGCGATTACATCGTTATGTAGTCTTCTTCTTCTTCTTTGTCTTCGTCTTCGTCTTTTTCGTATTTTTTATTCGAATGTTGAGTGTTTCTTCGTTTGGTTGGTGTGCAAGTGAGTGAGTGAATGTATGCACGTCGCTGTTTCTTCTTCTTCTTCTTCTTCTTCATTTTATCGGTTCGTTCGCGTTTCGGTCTCTCGCATTACAGAGCAAATGCATTCATTGCGCCCAACCGTTGTCTTTCGCGTTGTAGTCGCCCCATTGTCATAATCATCGTGGATCATTTGCTTTCTTCTTTGTTCGTTTGTGGATTGCTTTTTAATTGTAATAGCGAATGAACGAACGAATTAAAAAGGAAAAAAAACGCAAGATGCCAGCAAACATACAGAGAGAGAGAGAGAGAGAGAGAGAGAGCGAGCGAAATGTGGATTTTGCCGCTATGGCTGCCAGCTATTCGTGCTGTGATGAGCTCGAACTCTTTCGCATATACACAAGTGGTGTATAAAATGTAAGCATACAGTGGCCTGCATTTGCAATACGCTCCAAGTTTTTGGTGAGTGATCAGCCCGACCAAGAATAACTTCGTCATCACCGTCTTTGCATTATTGCTTGTTACTTTATGGTTATTATTTCTGTTCATCGTATATATTGAACTCAGAGAATTCGGCGCAAACGACGATGAATGTGAAAATGAAAAGGCCAAAATGGAAAAAAAACAACAGCGAAAATTCATCATTGCAATAGCACCAAAAAAAAAAAACGAAAGAAGAAAAAACCCCGTAATAACATGAATAGCGGAATTTCCAAAAAAAAAACGAATTTCATCTTTTTAGTTCTCCCGTATGCGTGAACATTTTCCTTTGATGTCATTAATACAAGTGTTGTTTTTGCTTAATTTTTTTGACATTTTTCACATTTTATGAAAACCTTTTCTTCTATACAGACACAATTTTTTTTGTTAGTACCATATTTTTCTATAAAATTCCTGTTGCTCATCATGGGTACCGTTCGTTGTTTCTCTTTTTTCTTCGAAAATTCTGTTAAATCGCATACAAAAAAGGCCGCCAACGTTGTTGTTGTCATCGTCAGAAAGTAATTTTAACCTATTTCAATCGTACGGTAAATCGTGTCTGAATTTAAAATAAATTAAAGTCAGCACACAAACGGTCAATGATGTTAGTAGCAATGTTCGTTGTCATTGTCGTATCTGTTAAATTGATGAAGTCGCGTTAAAGCCGGATCTATCATCGATTATCCACATCATCGACTATTGCCACTTTAAGATTGCAAATATAGAAAAAGTAACAAGGAAAAGAAGAATAGCAACAACAAAAAAAATGACGCACATCATCATCGTAGACAATGAGAACTCTGTGAGTTGAACACCGTTGTTCTCGCAACTCGGTGAGATCTCTCGCAGAAATGCGTGCAAACTGCTTGTGCAAGAATAGTTCGTATAAACTGGCCTATACGTGATATAAATGGCAGACACACTGACACATAATAACATGTGGAACGCGTATCAAAACATCGATAAAACAGAGGAAAAGGAAAACAGTAAAAAAAACATCTAAACGGTTATTTGGTGCCGTTTATGTTCTTTTTCTTGAATACATTTTATGGATTTAAAGAGTTCGGGCATCCAGAGAATTGCACGGAATTGCATAATATAGTATATATGCACATTGCATACACAGTACGCACACCGTTTGAATCAACTCAACTCTCGACTCGTTCATTCTGTTGTTTGTTCTGTTTGTCGTTTTCTTCGTCTCTTCGGTTTTTCGTTGTGCACATTTTACATTGTCGTTCGGTCGTCATGTCGTACATTGTTTGACTTTGATTATGCGGATTTTTTTATTCTCCATCTTCGGTTCTTTTACGGGAAGATTGAGATCAGGGATTGAAAAGAAGCGACCAACGCACTATTTCTACAGAAATAGAAAGGAACGGAATGAAAGACATGCATTTAGCCGACATTTTAATATTGGGAAAAAAACGCCACCTTAGTTCCGCCAACTGATATCGCGCCAATTTTACAAAATTCATCTGGATGATTTGAAGTGTTTGCTTTTCTTCAAATTTCCATCGATAAAAATATTTTTATATACCGTTTTTTTTAAATAAAACAATAAAGGGAGCATATGACTCGATCCGAGTACTTTCCACTCAATTTATCATAACTGCAAAACAATTATTAAAAATGACGACAGCGGCAGAGTTCACAAAGTGGACAAAAACGCACAAATGTAGAAGAGACGGAATAGAGGAGAGAGATAGAGAGAGAATGGCAATTTCTTTGAATATACATATGGAAAAGCGCAAAACATTATTATGATTGCGCATAAACCTGAAAAAACCCGAAATGTGATTTACCGCTATTTTGAAACGTTTAACAGTGCACATTTTACATGTTCCATCGATAAAAAACTGGCTGCCGCAAAATGAACAACTGAATAAAAGAAACCATTAAAAATGGCCAGAAACATATATTAAAGAGAGAGAGAGAGAGAGAATATAAACCAATACAGTAAGAGTGCACATTGTCACAATAATATATAAAAAAAATCTTTCAGTTCGAATATGCAAAATGTTTCGATGGGCTCTCGATGTGCACATCTGGGTAAATGCGATGAGCATAATTGACGTAAATCATAAAAATAGAACACAACACAATAGGCTTTCGTGTATTTGTGGTTCGAGGGTTCATGTTCACGAGGCCTTCAAAATGTCTCTCTATCAAAAGCGGACGCATGAATGAATGGCATTCATATACTATTTTACCAATTTTACATAGAAAACATAAATTCTCTCACTCCCTCATATGGTGATCTTCCTTAATTGTACCGATATATAAACGCCACACAAATACATTTGAAAATAATCGCACACATTCGTGATTACTTTAAATGGTCAATAATATTCGATTCATAAACTGATTCAATCAATATTTACCATTTGGCTATTGGAATATGTTCTGATGTTGGATGTCTAATTTTGGATGTGATCAAAAACCACCGTATGTCATTTCAGCAGCAACCAGACATAAATCGTGCACTATTTCAACCAATTGTTTGCGACGAATGCGAATGCCGCTTAATACAGTCTCTCTGCCGATACCAAATCTGTATGATGATCCCAGATGACAATGTATGAATACATTTTATGTACATCGAACAATTAAAAAATAAAATTCGGTTGCGCTGTCGAAATACATTTTCGAACGAAACGATTTGTTTTGTGTTGGTTTTTTTCTTCCTTCATTTTTAAATCGATGTAGTTCCAAAGCTATGAATCAAAATCACATTCACCATATGGGCGATCGTGTCGTTGTTTCAACAAGACAGCTTCATGTTTGTTGTTTTTTGTAGTTGTTGTTGTTGTTGTTATTGTTGTTGGTGTTTAACTTTTATCTACAGTTAAACATCTTAAATGTTCATGGCACATATGCGTGTGCGTACGCGCTCAAGTCTACTAAGGCTAATTCACAAAAATATATGCAATACAGCAATTCATCATTGAAAAATCCCCACGACATCGAAATTAATTGAAATTCAGTTCAATACACAATTCGCTCAACGAATGTAAACAAAACTCATTTTTATCGTTTTACCAAGCTGTCAAATACCACAAGCGAACGCAGTGTGTGTGTCTGTATGGGTGCTTCGTTGCATTTTCAATTGATTAACAAAACAAACAAGTGAAAATGCAGCACGAACGGATATGGAGTTAGAGAGAGAAAGAAAGCGCGTGAGCGAACGAGAGCGACTGTTCTGTGACAACAAATTTCGAAATGAATTTCGCGAATTCTGGCAAAATTTGCATTTTCTTGACAGGTCCTTACGTACACATTCATATACAAAACAAACATATTTTTCAACAATTTTTTTTCTGCAAAAGAAATCGCCTTTTAATTATACGGCGAGCTGTTGCCATTTATATTGCTGTTGTTGTTTTATTTGTTTTGTGTGAAATCTTGTAAACCATTTGGATGTTCAAGACTAACACATTGTGTACACTGTACACAACATTCATGTGTTGTCGGCGATAATTTCAGCAATTTTTCGTTATGAAAATAGTCGAAAATCATCGAAAAAGAAAATGAAAACAGTCCAAAGACATCATCAACCGTTTCTTTCCCATTTAACGTGAATTAATAATACTTCAATGGTTTTGCGCGCAAATGCATCCGAAAAATTGAAAAGAAAATAAATACGGACGATGATTCACGATGAATAATTGCAATTGAAAAATGAAAAAAAAAAGTGGAAAATAAACGTTTAAGCACGGAACATAATGTTTAATTTTTGACACATGAGTCGGAATATTTATATTACTAATTTGATTTTCCCAAACAAAAAAATTCACTTTAGCTCATGGATATTAATCGTTGTTAAATGCAATTTATCAATTCTCTTTTTTTGTCGTTTCTTTCTCGATTTTGGTTTGCGTTTGTAGCTGTAAAATTTGGACGAATGTCAAAGAAGCAAAGGGAAAAAGTCGAAGACGAAGTGCGGTTTCATCGAGCACAAATGCGTGCACAAAATGATGCGGAACGACCAGATAGTTCAGTTTATGATACACAGACTCCATCAAGCAGTGATCAACTACATCATAACTATAATGGGTAAGTATTATTTTTCGTGTCCCCCATATCCCAATGCTATCGATCGATAGATGGCGCTCGCTGTCAGTCTGATGACTTGATTGCTGCAAAAGTTAGCAAACTTATGACAAGCTCAATGCAATCAATTTTCCATCAAACACATGAACTGAATACATGCATTTTAAATTCACATTTTTAATTTCTCCTTTCCATTTGTTTCGTTCTCTCAGCTATTATTCGAATGAAGTTGATAACTATGGCAGTCCATACGGTTATTCGCAGTCGGTAGCCACACCACAAACAATTGGATATGATATTTCAGCTGATTTTGTTGACAGTACAACCGCCTACGAACCAAGAAATAACACAATCATCGATGCTGATTTCATAGGAATGCACAGTATGTATTTACAAATTGAAATTGATTTTCGTACCATATCACTCGTCGCTGTCGCCGGCGTCGATGTCACCACTCTCTTGTTTCTAAATCTCACCTCTCTCGCTCTTTCTTTCTTTCAATTTATCTCAATTTATATATATATATATATATATTCACTTTGAAGTTAGATAGTTCAATGAACTTGAGGTCCATTAAATATTTGTTTAGAATGTTGCTGGGCAAACGATTTTTTATGGATTCGGCCAAAACACCTTCGATTTTTGCTTTTCGATTCAAGTCTGATGTCGAAAACAATTGTTTTCCGTTTTGGAATTATTTTATTTTATATGTTCGTATCCGTACACATACACATTGGATTCATTGTGATTGCCTGAAGCACTTCCATTTAATTTATTTCACTCAACAACAGCAACACCAACAAAACCGATAGAATGTTACCATTTCACCATCCTGGTCAACGTTCATCAATTTTCCTTAAAAATGAAACGAGCCTTTTTTAGTAGCAGCAGCCTAAACAAAAAACACGCCTTCGGTGCATGAAAACCACACGCATTTTTCTTCATAGGATTTTATTTTTGTATTGGATGTGAATATATATAGAGAGGATAGGAAAATATCAATATCATTCAATGCACATAAATATTCACACAAAAATTGGTTAAAAGTCCGTGAAAGTCAAAAAAATTGTTTCAAATTGAGTTGTGATTTTGATTTCCTTCCCCCCACCCCTCCGCTTTGTTGTTCGATACGTTTATCTGTCTCTTTGTCTCTCTTTTTGCGAAATCCAAAAACAAAACAAAAAACAAAAAATCGCTGTGTCCTGTCTTCAGCAGGTAGTACAATGAGACGTGGAACACCATCCGATTGTCATACCGATTCGAATACAAGCACAACCGGTGGTAATAATCAAATTCAAGCTCAACAACAAACACAGCAACCATCACAGCCACCGGCCCAACAAACACAATCGCAACAACAGCCAACGCAACAGCAACAACAGCAGCAGCAGCAACAACCACAGCCAGCTAACACACAAATCACCACGCATCCGTCTTATGGTGAAGATGATAGCTCCTGTGATTCACACTTTTTAGGTAAATTTGCTTGGCTATTCGCGATTGACGGCGGTGTAATGTGCGCGCAAAAGATGAACATAACACAGAGCAGCTGTTTCGGTGCGGACCACAATACAACGCTTCGCCCACTCACACATCCTTTTTGCCACACATACACATTCATCATTCTAGCCGACATTCAAAACAATTTCAGCCGAACCAATTTGTTTTTCTTTAATAATTTCGCATAATATTCATCGACATCATCGCGATGTTGTTTGACCATTTGATTTGAAATTTTGTTGATTGTTCTTGCGTTTCTCACATTTTTCTTCCCATTTTTTTTTGTTGTTTTTGTTGTTTCGTAATCAGTTTTGATTTTGTCTACCTGCTGATTATTATATAATAATTTTACGTTGGCTGCATAGAGATAGTGCCGAGGCGTTTGTTCATGATGAGTTACTTTGGTTATTTATTTAATTTCGTTTGTGCGTTGTGTATTTTTAAACATTCTCATGGTGTTTGATTTATATTTATAAATTTTTCTGTTGAAATGTATTGCAATCTCAGTTTTTTTTTGTTTTGGCCCTTCCCAGTTTGTTCCAGATGTAAAGCTGTTTTGTTTTTGGTTTCTCGGTATGATCCCGACATTTAATTTGGTTGCATGACCGTTTTTTTTATATATATATTAGATATCTTTCCAAGTTTTGACTTGCAAGAGCTAATGTCATCCACATAATTCCATTTACTTTATTATTCAAATCGAGTAGTAACAAGCCCAGTCCAAAAAAGAACCATTATTTAACCGCAATTATGTTTTTTTTCGATTCAAATATAAAAAATCTTCATTTTTAAAGCAATCGAAATGCAACTCATTGAAAATATCAGTTTTTGCGTGTGTGTACGCTCATTTTGTTCATCAAGTTAATTTATTCGAAATCATTTTGTTTTAATTTCTATTGGTTGTTTTTTTTTGTTTTGTTTTTTCCCTGTTAATTAAATTACTTTGAGGATTCATTAATTTCACCTTTGATTAAGATAATTTATCATTATTTTTGCTTTATTTAGTTTTTTTTTTGTGATACAAATTGAACAATTAACGATCTATTCAAAAAAAAAAATGACATGCCTTCCATTTGTACAAAAATGTAATTTTTCATTTTTCTTTCTTCCGTTATTGTAGCTGAAGGTAATATCAACGATGTTTTAATCAAAACTCTGGCCGAAGCACACGCAAGAACGAATCCAAAATTGGAATACGTACATGAAATGTTCAGAAAGCCACAGGTAATTCGATAAATTGAAAGCGATAAATGTCTGTTCAATCATTTCGCCCAAGAAAAACATCTACGATTGAAATGTTATTTTTCTTCACTTTCATGTGATGCTACTTCCGAATGTGTGCATCAATCCTAGGATCTATCTCAAATTTTTCATTACAAGAATCTGGGCCAAGAACCATTATGGCTAGACTGTGCTGAAAAACTAACGACAATGATACAAAATATCATTGAATTTGCTAAACTAATACCCGGATTTATGCGATTGAGTCAAGATGATCAGGTTTGTCACTCATGATTTATTTTTAATGTTCGTACAATTTTCGTTTTGTAATGTAAATATTTTTTTTTTGGTAATATTCAATATAGATTTTGCTGCTGAAAACCGGCTCATTTGAATTGGCAATTGTTCGAATGTCTCGATTAATGGATCTCTCGCAAAATGTCGTTTTATACGGTGATGTATTATTGCCGCAAGAAGCATTCTATACATCAGACTGTTCGGAAATGAAATTAGTTGCATACATTTTTGAGACTGCTAAAAGTATTGCTGAGCTTAAACTAACTGAAACTGAATTGGCATTGTATCAAAGTTTGGTGCTATTATGGCCAGGTGAGTAACATTATAAATTCAATCGAAAACAAAAAAAATCACAATATCTGGATAATCGATGCGCTTCACATGTCTTAATTATTCTTTTTTTTTTTGTTTTACATATATATTTGGTAATTTTCCGTTGGTGTGTTTGGTATTCATTTTTCTTTTGTGCGTTACAGAACGGAATAGTGTTCGTGGCAATACGGAAATTCAAAGACTTTTCAATATGAGTATGTCGGCAATAAAACAAGAAATCGAAGCAAATCATGCACCAATCAAAGGGGATGTCACTGTGCTTGATGCACTCCTCAATAAAATTCCAACGTTCCGGTAAGTGAATGCGCCAATATTGTTTTGTGCGTGTTTATGTGTACTAGTGTTCTATCAACGGCTGGTTGTGCATTGTCACAAATCCATTATTTTCTTTAGTCTCTGTGTCTCAAAACGTTAATCAATGTAATTGCATTAAATTCTCTGTTTTTTTTTTTCATGTTATGCGTGATGTTTCGTTTCCGCTTTTTCCAGTGAGCTGTCGTTGATGCATATGGAAGCCTTAAACAAATTCAAAATGGAGCATCCGCATTGTGTGTTTCCGGCTCTGTACAAGGAACTGTTTTCGATTGATTCACAACAGGATCTGACATAACAAGACGATAATGAAACGCAATCGCATTCGCCGCCTCAGCACGAGTAATGAGAGAGAGAGAGAGACAGAGAAAAATATATGCAACAATCGTCTCTCTCTGTCTTCAGTTTAACAACAGCAACAAAAAATAACACACAATAAGATACACACATACACGACTCACACATTTTCAGTCTATCGTCAAATCGGTTTTGATATCCTCATCGAAACAACATTCTATTTGAACAAAAAAAAATGCGAAAAATCACAAAAAAAAAATCGTAAAAAAAAGATTTATCATTTAACATCCCCTTGTAAAATGTATCGCTAAAATAAAAAAAGAACATCAACAGCAGCAGCAATATGAGCATAATTCAATCTGTACTGCGTCTTGACCAATATTTAACGAATACAAATAGCATTGCGGCGCTTCAATAAAATCGATTTTCTTTGAAAATGTATATAAAAAAGATGAAGATATCCAACTGGCATGATCGCCATTGAATCATTTTCATTAAATCAATAATTGCACACGGTTACTTTTCTGGTTTTTGAAGATCGTTCTTGATTTGAAGATCGAAATAGCATGACTGTGAATGATTCTGTTAATTTATATTTTATGCATAGACAGAAGAAAATCAAAAAAAAAAACAAATTTGTTTGTTATGACTTTTTAAATTATTATGGAGTGTTATACATATATATAATTTTCTTTTTCCTTATTAAATTGTACCATTTTAATGTCGTTATTTTAATTTTCTGTTTAAATTCCAATGCAAACGATAGTCAAATGTGATGATCTTTGTTTGTTGGATGAAATGCCGAAGAACATGCATAAATCTCACTGTCTTTCTCTATGTATATAAATTAGATTTCAAGATCTGGTTTCTCATTTTGCACAATTCTTCATTGCCTTGCTGTGAGCTTCAGTGTGGTGTTTTAGTTTTGAGTGCGCTGAGATTTTTTTTTATAAATGAACAAAATAAAAACGAAAAACAAGAATTATGTTTTAGTGATCATACATGCATTTTGCCCACATACCTATTTACTGAAATCAATTGTGCAATATATTTTGAAATCAATCCATGAATTATATATCATATATGTGGATATGAGGTGTTTTCAATCCTCATGCGTGTCAATCACGTTAGCATTATCTATCAATTTTATTTGTTTGTTACGTTATTTAAAACGAAGAAAATGTGGGATGATCAAATCATCCATTTCGAAATAATTCGCATAAAATGCGATAGTAGAAAAGTAAATAATGAAGAAAAGAAGCCCAATGTGCAAGAAAACAATTTTGATTAATGAAAATGTTCGCAGTCGGGTCATTTTACACGGGAATTCGTTTTAGAAAAATGATGAATTTCAATATGTGATCCGTAAACACTCTGACTGAAAATGGCGATTCATTCACCATCACCAGATATGCGATACCAAAATATTTAAATCGATTTGTTGCAACATAAATCCAAGCTTCGTTTGAATAAAAAAATATATATGATTGAACAGTGTTAATAACTAAAAAAAAATATAAAATGCTATTTGTTATCATAGTGTAAATGAAAGAAGCAACACAGAAATTCAGCCGATGAAATAAAAATTAAACAGAAAAAAAAACATTTAACATTAACTTATATAAAGATAAGTGAAGCGGAGAATGTAATGAAAATAATTTTGAGATGTGAACTATGTGACGAGGCAGAAACATGAAGAAAAAAAAAATGATAGAAAGGAGTAAAGAAAAAAGAAGTAATTTAATATATTATTAATACTGATAATTATACACTAAATATGAATTATATACACACACAAACACACACACATACAAGAAAGAGAAGAAAAATACACATAAAATTATTTACTGTTATGTTTAAAATTTATATGAATTTATAAAAAAATGATGAGAAGAAAAAAAACATACAAGAGAATAACACTTAGTGACAAAAGAGATGGACAGGAAAAGAATAGCGAAAACATAGAATCCCATAGACGAATATAATACAGGAAGCGCGCTTACAACACACACATACACACATACACAAACTCTCATTTATTTGAAGAAAAAAAAAACTTTTCTTTTTTTTAAATATAGTTTTCACGAAAACACCCAGTATCGAACGTCTAAATTTTTCTGTTTTGCCACCGTGTTACACAAACACACACTCTCTCTTCTCTCGTCTCATTAACATCTATTTCCTTGAAATATTTTTTTTCGAAATCAATGTTTTTCTTTAAAAGAGGAGAATGGGATAATTGCAATAACTGCGACTATTTTCTTTTTTAAGTGACCAGATACACTTTTTTTTAATTTTCATTGAAACCCACTATAATCGTTCCATAAAAAAATGTTATTTTTGCAATTCTGGACGATAACTCGCATATGGGCGGAAAACGCCACGCCAAAATAAGCATTAAATTAATTTTGTATTTAATTGAAGTATCAAGAAAATCATCGTTTCATACATTTTTTACTATACATCCCAAACCATGGTTTAAAACCATCCTCGATCAACATTTCTCCATTGCGTTCATAATTCGTTCAATGAAAAATCGATTTCAGATCAAAATACATCAATCACTTTTCAACTGAAATATCATTGCGAATATCGGCACCTTTTATGAATATGATAAAGTTTTCGATAACTAACAAATATTTTCGTGATTGTTTGCGTAAAACTTTCTATATGTTTCGATTCGTTCATTTTTTTTATGTAGACATATATAAAACTAATTTAAAAAAAAAATTATTATCATAAGACGATTATCTCGTCTGATGGGATATATGCGATGAGCAAAACAGAAGAGAGTAAGTTTAACGTAAAAAAAATAACGACAGAAATATGAAATAAATAATAGACAAATATCTCTTACACCATTACGTGTATTCCGAGAGTTGATTGGAAACGATTCGAGAAAAAAAGAAACAAATAAACCAAATTCTCTACATTTGGAATATTGAATATGAGTCTGTACATTTTGTGTATTATACCAAAAAAGAGGAGAAATTGTACATTTTTTCACAAATATAATTTATCAAATGTTTAGATGATCATTCAAATGCTATAAGGTAGAAAAAGTTGTGAAGTTTTTTTTTCATCTCGAATGTACAAAGATGAGACTATATCAACTTCGGCATAACACACACACACATACACTGAAAACAATAATTTCAATAAAAAGTAAAGAAGGACAACAGACAACGTAATATTACGATTATTATTTTTCAAAATATAGGCGTTAAAAGTAGTTTTTTTTTTTTTTTTTTCTCTCGATAAGGCGCAATAAACAGACGTGTTAAATTATATCGCTCTCATCTCACATATTGACAATACAACCAAATCGCCGAACGTGTTTAATAGAATTGAAACATTGAAGAATTCATCAATTGCCAATTTAAAATAATACAAAAAAAAATTCGGTCAATAGTCTGTTAAGCATGATCGTGTTTTATGGTTGTGTGCACCCGTCAATTGCGAGATGACGTTAATTTCAATCAAACATAACAATGAATTAACAACAAAACATATTATTATTATTATCATTATTATTATTATGGTTATTATTATTATTCTAATTATGATTACTGCTACGAATAATGAATATGTGAACACATGCAAAACAAATTGCAAATGAAAAGTGCAACGCAGAAAAACGAAAGGACAAAAAAAAACAGAATTGACGAGAGGAAATAGAGAAAGAGAGAGAGAGAGAGAGAGAGAGAGAGAGAATGGCAGTTATTGGATGTTCGATTTGCGTTGGATTGTTCAAAATTTGTATCACAGTTTCATACACATACAGATTTAAATAAATAGAGAAAAAAATGTGCTGAACACTTCCGAGCTAAATAGAGAAAGTGTGACGTATTTTTTCTTTCCACAAGCAACTCGAAAATCAAATACAACCGACAAAAGACTAAAAACATTTTTTTTACTTGATTGTTAGTCAATCCAATAGAGAGTAGAAGTAATTGATTGATTTTTTTTCAGCAGCTAATTCAATATACATTAAAATACACACATGTCATTAAGAATCATTTTTGTCGTCTCATGTCATATGTCATTATTTCTTTCCCTATCGTATTTCTTTCTGCATTGCCACTTATTCTCTCACTTTTTTTAAATGTGCAAATCATTTCTCTTATTTAGTTCCCTTTTTTTGTATAAATATAGTTGAATAATATAAATAAATGAACAGAATGAAAAGATACACAAGTAAATCATAAATATTTAATAACAAAACATATGGAACTGTTATTCACTTTGTAAATTCTCTAAAAGTTTAAAACAAATCAATCAACTGTTTTTAGTTTAATTGAATTTAAATGAAAAATACATGAAAACAAACATAAATAGCAAATTTTTTTGCATATTCTATTGTAAAGTTGTTAAAAACTGCTATAAAAACACAAGACGAAGAGAAAAATGGAATGATAATAAACATTGGTTTGCATGGATTTCACCACACATTTAGACACACACACACAAAGAAATATATTATTATTATTACAAGAGAAAATGGATCGATATAGAAATATCAAATATCAAACGAAAATTCACGTATACAATTTAATGAAAAGGAGAATGACAAGATGGAACATGCAGCGCCCAAGAAAGAACGAAACATATAAACCGATCAGATGAAAGTGTGAATGGAATACACAATGGCCCCACATATTATACACATTTATTTCTTTAGTTAAATTAATAATGGAATAACATTTAACAAGATGAATATTCGTTTAAGGTATATAATTAAAGGAGTATATAAGGAATAAATCGTAATCAAATTCACACCTCTCACCACAGACACAACACAGATTACACACATCAACAGTGGCGCGCTTGCAAGAGAGAGAAAAGTAATGTAAGTCGATCGACAGAAATCTTTATGATAGCTCAACCGAGAGAAATTCATGTGTGTTTTTTTTTAAATACAAAATGACAAACATAAAAGTGCATCCATTCAATTATGTTCGAAATATTTCAATAAGCCAATGCAAGAAAAACAATGTACTCGTTCACATTGCATAACAAGTGTTCATTTTATTATTGTTATTGCTTTTAAATAGCTTTTGTGGAACACTCCCATTCGAAAATATCGGGTTCCACCACGATAAAATTTTATAAAGAAATTTTTAAAAAATCAATTTTGTTGAATGAGCCACGAAATCTATAACAACGATGCGCATACGTTGCGCCAGTGAATCATAAGAGTTTCGGTAACGAAATACCATAACATCACATATCCTATGCAGACACGCATAGCAATAGATGCCACGTATAGTTGTCCTGCAACATCTATGCTGCATTGTTATTTCAATACCTATTGAGCAGAGTGTTGATCGCATAAGTTTGATGTTATTTCATTTTCGAAAAAAATAAATCGTATTCTCTCTAAATCATCGCCAAAACGAGTTGTCGTTTTTTTTTTTCGGTCCAATGTTTTTTTATTTTCTTTATTTCCATAGATGAATATAATTCTATGTAAAATGTGAGTGCGAACAAAGTAAGGTGTAACGTATATAGGACACATAAACTGCGATAGAGATGACATGAAATTCATGTTTTTGTTTGAATAAAAAGAAAATATATATATATATATAATTTCACGAGAGTGAGAAAGTTAGTTGTGTGCATAAAACGTAAAATGTTTGTTCGTTTTGATGCACAGACCAGCAAAATAAATTTCAAACACACTGCCTTTCGTATAAAAGAAAAATTCGTTTGTTTTTGTTTATTATTTTCATTTCTTTCTCTTTCGATAGGATTTATATAAATATAAATATATACTTGATTTTGTGTAGCTTTATTTGCGTACTGGTATCTTTAGAAAAATGTTAGGCATAAAATGTTGATTCCTCCGTGGAATTTCTTTTTGTTTTGTTTTCTTTTTGTTTCGAATTTCTAAGATGTGGAAATGAAATATTTGATAGATTTAATGAACGGCCATTCGTTGACAGCTGCACATCGTTTGATCTGAGTGATCAACGGAAAAAATGCATGCGAATCGAATAAGTTCAGACAAGTTTATTTTTCTTTGAATTTGTCAAATTGAATAATTTTTTCTTTCGTCAAGAATTTAAATTGAAAATGAAGAAGAAGAAGAAGACGTGACAGAGATAATGAAAAGAAAATCACATAAACATACACTGGAAAATAAAACACTGTAATATATTAGAGAGAAAAACAACAAAAAAATACTTTATATCTGTATATGTAGATTTATTATTATGGCTTTAGGATAAATTAATAAGAGAAATTTAATGAAAAAAATAAAATAAAATTTTGTGAACATATTCACATACACACAAAACAAACACATACACACATTTTGAAAGTGGGCAAACAACAACAAAAAAACAAAAATGATGAAAAAAAAATAAGTAAATCGTATTTAGACTAATTTTATTTAATGAAACAAAGCGGTGAATAGAGAAAATTATTATGCATGAATTAAAATAAAGCGATAAGAAAATTTAAATAAAACAACACATACACACACGTTATTTAGTAATAATTCTATTTGCATCTAAACATTTAAAAGCAAGAAACACCTATTTACGAATGAAAAGGGTTGAATACACACACATACACACACACACATTTCATCAATACAAAGAGAGAAAGATATATAGTTAATGAATAAAAATAAAATAAAAACAAGACAAGATTTTTCATCTCCGCTTCTGACACAAAACAAATGAAAAAATTTAATGAGATGAAACTTTATATATTCAATGATAGCGAAACGAGCGATAAGCATACGGAAATAAAGAGAAAAATGTTGCGAAAAAAAATTTCAATATGAAGAAAAGAATTATAATTAATTAATTATTAGTAATGACTATTATTAGAGATATTTAATCTTATTGTGTACCTACACGAGAAATAAACTGCATACAAATACACATTCATACGTAACATAACAGACATAATAGTTTTCAAAGAATAGTACATCTCTCCCTTTTCCTACTCAATCCCTGACAAAGAAAATTTGATCGAAAAAAAAAACACACACACACACAAACATGTTTTGTTCAAACTCAAAAACACATACCTACCACATCCGACAGATCCCAACCTTTCAACAACAACAAATCTATACATATTTGCATATGGAAAAATAGAATTACGATTGTATTAAAAACAAATCAATTTATATATTATAATTTCATTTCTATTATTAAAAGTACACATTTTTTGTTTGTTTGTTTTCGTTTTTTCTTCTTTTTTTAAAACAATATTTATTCATTCAAATTTTTGGTTGCAAGGCATATCTCCAAATCTTCACTGACACAAAAACAAAAATCCTACAGCGCTGAATACGGCTTGGACTAAGCTTTGAAACCGTTTTAATGACCTCCATTCATACTTTTGATGCATTTTCAATGTTAAAGTCAAATCCCATTAGTTCTTATAACACTTACTTCATCATTTCAGGGTATTTTATTCAGATGAATAATGTTTTACAGCCTGTAAAAATGCATAATACATAACGATACAAAAAAAAACAATCATGCATTTACTCCAATCAATCCGACTGAAGTGTAGCGCCCAATTTTTTTAAAATACTCAATCGACTCCAAATGCCATTTATTATTTTTTTATTATTTTCATTTTTAAATCGATTATTTTATCATCCATTCATTCATGGTGAGTTTTTTTAAACCTACAGCATTTTTCCTTAACCACGTTGAAAACACCACCCGTTTTCACATACACATAAACCCAAAAATAATACCGAACGAGACAGAACATATACCGATAAAATAGAAAACCGAGAACAAAAAAGAAACGCAGTAAAACACACTGAGTAAGTTGCATTGTAGTTTGTATGCTCGCATATAATCTGTGTAAGCGAAATTAAGCTATTTAAATGGAGAGAATGAAAAACAAACGTAGTGAAAATGACAAAGAGATAAAAAAAAACACTTAAATAATGTTTAAAAATAAAAAAATGCCTTAACAAAGTAACTTTATTTAAAGAGAAGAAAAAAATGCAACAAAATAAAACACAATTTAGCAAATTTGTAGAGGATAAACACATAGTGGAAATGATTTAAGTGTATGTGCGATTTTAAATTTAATAAATTTATTATTCATTTTCATCACTTTTGACAGTCATGTGTCTACCGATGCATCCGAACGATTTTTAAAATAAATTATTAGAATAAAAATGCAAACAAAACTAATGAACGCATCCAACAGAAAAGATCAAGAATTTTTTTTTATTGTGGGTGTGATCATTTTTTTTCTATTTGTTTTTTTTTTTCGTGAAAAAAAATAACTTTTTACTACATCGACTGAATATTTGCTTACAAAATATGAATAAAAATTGTAACAAAACAAACCGAACAAACAAACAAACCAAATTTAAGGAGAACATGAACGAAAATGACTGCTGTATTGTCTTTTTTACGCTTTGACAAATGAGAGATAAAGAGAGCTGATGCATTTTTTGCATCACTTGAATCACATGTACTTTATGATTTTTATTTTTATTCGATTTTTTTTAAGCAAACAATGTAATTGAATGTGGACAAACAAAAAAAAATTATATGAAAGAAAATGTTTGTTAAATATATGAAAGACAGAAATTCTATTTGTCAGTATGTCCATATTGAACGAAAGGAAATCTCTTTTTTTTTACTAAAAAAAACTCATTTCACAAATTTGTACTGAATTTCTTCACGCGAGTGCGTTTTATATGTTTTTTTTGTTCAGACACCGACTTTTTTGGTCGTTCCTTGTCCCCATGTATTCACTTTAACAAGCAAATTGTTCGTGGTCATTTTTCTATTTCTTATTCTTTTTTATACGAAAAAAAAATTAATAAACAAAATAGTTGTAAAACCGTTAGATATGTAGTGAGATTACAAACATCTACAAAATTCAAAGAGTTTGAAATGAAAGAATGTTAAACATTCTTCAGCTGAAAATGAAGTGGTAATATTTTCATTTAATTGAAAGTTGGCTTATTGTTTGTTGCAAAATAGTGCGTTTGATACACAGTATCATCACAACGACATTCTTCTCGATTCTTTGACAATGCTGAAATATATAAAACGATTTGCATAACGTTTACAAATACCAATCGTCTTGAAATACAAATTACACACACACACACACAACTACGACGCAATTTTCAAATCCGATGACACTATATTTGATATAATAATACACAGATGTGAAATAACAAAACCAAAAATAAACAAAAATTTATCTGCTACAGCAATCACTTGAGAAACATAAAGCAATGCTAACGGAACAAATAATACTCTATTCACTCTCTCTCACACATACACATACAAATTCACAGCATCCACAATATTTCACATTAGTTAAAACAACAAAAATACGACACCATCATAGTGTCACCATGAAAATCGCATAGCAAAATTCAAAAAAAAAAAAACCTACACACATAAGATCATCATAATAGTAATTTCAGATTCCCACAAAATGTAAAAAATACACAAATCTCAATATAGTATATATTTAAAAAAAAATTGTCGAATAAAAATTCGAAAGCAAAAAAAAAAAAATGATCAAATGAACTAATTGTTGAAGAACTTTTTTATAATTACTTACATATTGAAATCTTCTTCACATTTTCACAAATTTTCAACATTACAATGAATCAAGAATAAATAAAACAAAATGTTAAGTACACACACACATATTTCGAATATATGAGAAAAATTGAATGACTCATTTATTTTTGGATGACGCGAACAAGTAACATGACACAATCACTTTGAGAAATAGTCCAAATTTGCAAAATTGGTTTGACTCTAAAAAAATCTTACATAATATGCAATAAAAAAAGATTTTATCGGATTTTGTTATTTGGTCAATCTGAATATGCGACCCGTATTTACGGCGCTTATAAAGTCAGTCCGAATTTTGTTTCTGTTTAATTAACGAATTTTTCCTTGTCATGTTTCGATACTCAAAATGTCATTAAACATTGTATTCATTATGTTGGCGCGTAAAAAAACGACTTCTTCTTTTGAAGAGATTTTATTCATCATGGCTAGAATTCATGCGACATAAACGGACCACTTTTGATTGAACATTTAAAAATTGATTTTCCCTACAATTGAGATAAAAACAGATTTTTCCAAAAAGACTGGCTGATCCGTTTGGCGATTTTGTACATAGAAAGTAGTGATCAAATTATGAAAATAAATAAAAACATAAATCAGATCCACCTCTTAAGAGGTATTTGATTATGAATTTTCTTCGAAAATGTTGCATACTCGGTTCGATTTAAAATCAAGCAAACATTGAAAACATACACACAAGTAATTATGTCTATACCAATTGAAATGCATCAGATACCGTTTTGTTGTGCAATGCGCGCGCAAAATGTGTAGCCAAACGCAAATTTGCACAAATTGCATCAAATTAACATGAGAATTATGTATTTGAATATACAACTAAAGCTTTTACATTTAAAATCAAAATAAGAAAAAATCTGAATAAAAACCAAATCATAATTATTTGTACTGGCTCTAATGCGCGTGCGATTTCTAATGAAAAAGAAAAGACATAAACGAAATTGATGAAGATTTGATGCTGCTCATTGTCATCGTGTGTTTTGCAACAATCGGGATGGGTTTTAGAATGTCGCGCATACAAAATCGTATGTGTTTGGCTGCATGCAATAATAAAACTTTCGTAATTTGTATAAGACTTAGACAGTACATACACACACTCACACACACACACATAAATACGTTTAGATCAATAAATAAAACAAATCTCTATTTAAAGTTGAAATAAATAAGCAAAAAAAAATATCTACATTTTTACAACATCGCCGATGATAATGTTATACTACTGATGAGAGAGATAGAGAGAGAGAGAGAGAGAGAGAGAGATGAAGAGCAGAAACAAAATGGTAAAGCCGAAATAAAGACAAAATCTATATATACATAAAAAAATCAAGCAAAATAGAGTGATCAAAATAGTTTGGTTGTTCTGTAGCGAATCATTCTTGTATCCAATCGAATAGCAAATGAGCAGGTGTTCTCTTTTAATCAATAGGTCACGCATCTGAAAATTGTGATTCGCGAGTAGGCCGAAAAGACTAATCTGATTACTCAATACGTAAAATAAATAAATATATATATATTAAAAAGGTATATCTTTAAAACAAAAACAAATTTATACTTTATATATAAACATGCAATACAAAACAAAACAAAACAAATGCGAACGAATACTACTGAAATCTGTTCGAACAAAAATTTAACTACATTTACGACAAAGAATTGTTAATAGTTCAATTCAATAAATATTTGAAAAAAACAGCAACACCACAAAAAATACAGAATATAGTGTCTATTCTCAGCCGAATCATGTTGTATTCGAACCGCTAATAACCAAAAAATTTAAAATCGACAGAAAAACATAAAAAAAAAACGCACCGCGGAGAAGTATCGATTGATTCTATGGAAAAACTAACCAAATGAAAAACCAATAAATGAGACTAACGAAAAGCCATTTTTAGCGTAAAATTAATAATTGACATTCACACCTACAACACATTAAAGAATAGACACTCCATATGAGTTTTTATTAATTTCATTCTCTCTACGAAATAAAAATTTTTTAACAAAGCAACAAAATAAAAATGCTCGATAAATCATCAATTTACTCACACATACGCGGTGACAAAAATAGCGAATTAAAGCAAGCAAAAAAAAGAGAATGCAAATAAAAGTTCGAAAAAAATAATAATAAAACAACATATATAACAACAATGAAGAAAAATGAGACAAAAAAATAAGAAGAAAACACACAGACACACACACACATATTATTTTTTACCATTAAATTATTATGAATTATTATTCTTATTATGTATTGAAAAATTGTTTTATAATAAAAAAAGAATTTCCTAAATAAAATTTATCATGTACCTACAAAAAAATAGTTTTTCGTTTATTTTTCATGGAATTTCTCAACGATTCAATTTATTCAATTTTCGCGCTTACATTCGTCAAATTTAAAATTGAATAGTAGCGTAAGCCTTCAAGAATGGAGAGTATGTTTCGTCCTTGGGTCAGTCATCAGAAAAAAGAAACCACATCACGAGAGCCGGTGTTTATTGAAAGAGTGGTGGAAAAAATGATGATCTTTGTTGTCGCTGTTGGCTTTCATTGTTCTGGATGATTGTCGATTCAGATGGTACGGCGATGGCATTGTCTGCAAGAATGAATTATAATTAAGCAAAAAAGCGGTTTTTGGTTGAGATGCATTTTTCGCTGTCATCTCTGTTCGTGTCTTTGGCGATGTGAATTACCTTGAGTCGCAATCAATTGATTTGTTGTTGGCGGTTGTTCTTCTGTTAATTGTTGACTGCTCTGTTCATGCATTATGGATTCTGGTAGTTGTACGGCCGATGGTGGCGTTGGTAAGTGTCCTCCAAAGGCTTGAAAACCATTCTCGTCAGCAACAAATTGTACAGAAATTAAGGTACCATCAGGAGCCAAATAGGAATATGATCCCGTCTGTACAATTATATCGGCTGACTCAAGTTCACCGGTCTGAGTGCCGTCAGAACGTAAGCGCGGTACTAATACGGTCTTATGATAACCGTTGGCTTGTTGCTTTATATGATTGGCCGTCTCAAAGCTGCAAACGAAGAAAACAATTTGGGTTAATTCGATTTAGATTTGTTTCTTCTTACATTCTTTGTCAATTAAATATGTGTCTCTGTCGGTTTTTTACCTGTAACTAAAGCTGCCATCAGGTGAAATTTCATCCGTTTGCGAAAGGATTGGTATGGGCGTATTTGTGTCGGGAACGATTTGTTCATCGCCAAGAATTTCAATTGGCGCGGCTTGAGTCAATGCAGTCAACATTGAAATTACGAAAGAAATACGATTGACAAACATTTTCTTTTTTTTCGTTTTCGGGATTCGGGTGACCCTTTATTCTGATGATTCGATATTTTGATAAAAATTGATGTGTTGCCAAAATAGTGACCAACGCTCACAGGTATTATCAATCCGGAATGATTTTCAGTACTGAATGAATTTTCTAATCAATTCCATCTTTTTATACCAAAAATGAACATGAGATGCCGACTGACCAATGCCCGAAATGAAGATGTAGAGAAAAATCTCCATTTGATTTATTTATTCAACGCAAATAACTGCGTTTTTTTGTGTATAGATATTTACATACATATATGTAAAACTTGATGTGAAGAAGCCCTGAAAAACTGAAGCATTTTTAAGTACTCGACAAGTAACACGTAAATTGGTAAGGTAAATAACAATGCAAACGCAATCAAGAGGCGCATCGGTAAAACCATCTTCATATTTTGTTGTTATTGAAATAGTCAATTTGAGCAATAAACATTGAGAGTACTGCGGCTTGGTACTCAATATTCATCGTCAATTGCAAACTGTTTTTTTCATTAGTTTCACGGCACACGCTAAAGTGTCAAATCTTACAAACGTAAGCCATGTGTTTGTCGCCTCGAGCACAAATACATGCTTGTATTTGTGGTAAATGCACTGGAGCTCAAGTGTTAAATACCATTACTGTCTTTTTTCTGATTTTGTAACATTATCGTCGTCAACGCAAACCATTTTGCGTTCGATTCTATATGGAATGGATTCCGTCTAAATTTAGATCAAATAAAGATGTACGGAGAATTATTTTTAGTTAATAATAAGAAATGTAAATGTAAGCAGTTCACGCTTCGCAGATTAAATGCTTTTGCAAATTCAGACACGAATCACAGGTGTAATGACTGTAGTTTTTTCTTGGAACTTCTCGTCGTGATCGATGTAAATAGCACAAGGAGCAATGAAAAGTTGTCGAAAATTATCATCTCTTCTCCCACCCGTGTCACTCAGAGTCTCATGTCATTGATGTTGATCGCATCAACACTTGAGCTGAAAACATTCACCGGGCGAAAGTGAAACCGATACGTATGACATTTAGATCTTCTTGATTTTAAATTTATCGATTCACAGAATACAAATGAAAAACACATTATGATTGGCCATGACCCGACTCACTTGCTTGTACTGCATAAGTCCATTTTTTAATATATAAAAGCAACACATTTATATTCTTTGTACGAAAAAAAGACCATTTCGTGGAAAAATCGACCGAAAACCATCAATTCGATGCAATTAATTGAGAGCAATAAAGTGTGTGGTTGGTGCTGTTTTGTATGTTTTGATCCTCTTTTGCTGTTTTCTGGTTTCGTGAATGAAATTTCAGTGCTGTCTTGCACAATTGATGTGCTTTCGTGAATCGGTAATTTGTATGTCATTCCATTTTGTATGTTTGTCGGCCACCAAACACACACACACGTCGTTTTCAACGATTTAATGCACCTAGTGTGGAATACACCGTGGATTCTCTACTTCTCTCTCTCTATGTTTAATTTAATTTTTCTTTAATTTGTTTTATTTCTTTCTTTAATATGGTTTTTAGTTTGCATAATCGTACACACTTGCTTGCATGTGTCATGTAATACATTCGATGAGTGTGAATTTTGTGATTTTTATCTGTAGGAGGTCGATTAAACCATATGTGTCGAACACTCTCGATATTTCCCAGAGTGTCATCGTCATTTTGCTGCTATTAACACAGCCTGCAAATATACAATTGGGTAATTTATGCTCTTATGAAATGTTTCTCGTCGTAAATTTACCAGTTTCAGAAGATGTAAGAATATATTCTTTGTGAGAGGAAAAAATCGATTTCATTTTGCATACTCATGGAAATATAATTGGTTTTTGCTCGGCAATAATAGTTATAATCCGTTTTCAATGTTATTTAGAAATAATTTGTTGCACACATTGCAACGATCGAAATGTCAAATGATCAACAAAAAAAAATTGATTGAATAAGTTGCATACAGCTGACGAATCCGAATTTAGAACAATCAAAATTGTTTACTTTCATTGACGTCATTTGCACGAGAAAACCTTGAAACATACAAATCTGTTCGAGCATATCCTCAAGTTAGGATTGAATTATTGGATCGTTTTCGAATAGTACTGTGCGAGCTCAGATCCTCAGGGGGGGTGATGTCAATAATCATGGACAGAAAAGACCCCTTATATTACTTAAAATTTTAAATTTTAATTTTTTTTTTCAATTGAAAATAGATGCCAAAAAAGGAGGTAACCGTATACTCCCACACCCTTCGCACATTACTGGACTGAATGCATTGCACCAACTACAGTATCTTATGGTCTAAAAATATCATACATTCGAAGGAATTGTGACTTTCAATATAACTTCTTTGGATGGATACATGAAGATCAAGGATTTGATAGACAGAGAACAAGTGGTACGAGAGAGAGGGAGATAGACACCAACAAAGCAAACTATCTTTCTCGTTTTCAGTCATGGAAAATTCTGTGTATTGTATATCACCTCAGTGTAAATAGTTAGTTTACTGTTGGAGTAATGACATCGATTGACACTTAATTATGATGCTTGATTTATCAGAGTAACCGTGTCCCATTGTTTCTGCATAGCTTTAATTCAATGTAGCGCTGGAGTAAGAGTAAAAAAAGTGGAACACGATTAAATTAAATGCATTGTAAAGTTTCCTTTTCATGCGTGTGCAATGCTCCTCGAGTACTTCTATCAAGGGGAAAATCGGTACTGAAATATTAAATATACTAAGAAGTATTGAAAAGTACCGAAACGTACCGAAACGTATCAAAACATACCAAAACGTACCAAATAGGTATTCGTTTCGAAAAAATACGTGGCAAGCTTGTATGAAACTCTCGGAGACTCGATATAATGCACAAAAAAAGTGAAATATTTTTTTCGATATTTTTATGCACTATACCCATTCTCCGAGAGTTTCATATAAGCCTGCCATGTAGAAGCAGAAAGACAGTCGAAAAGACGATTTTTTTTTTTTCAATATTCTCGACTGTCTTTCTGCTGCTACATGGCAACCTTATATGAAACTCTCGGAGACTTGGTATAGTGCACAAAAATATCGAAAAACATTTTTTTCACTTTTTTGTGCATTATACCGAGTCTCCGAGAGTTTCATACAAGCTTGTAATGTAACACCAAAAAGACAGTCGAAAACACGAAAAAATTATTCACTATTTTTTTGAAACGAATACCTATTTGGTACGTTTTGATACGTTTCGGTACTTTTCAATACTTCTGAGTATATTTAGTATTTCACTACTGATTTTCCCCTTGACTTCTATGCTATAACCGAACTGAATGTTTCAAACTCAGTACAGTTGCTGTGTACGTGCGCGATTTCAATGGTGAACAGTGAAACATGTAAACCGGTCTCTCTTTCTCTCTGTGCAGTGTGCACAATGTTGGTATACATATGCCATTTGGACGATGGCGATGCAAGCATCGATTAATGAATCGATTGATGCACACTTCTTCGAACACGATAAATTGTGAAATAAATACAAAATCATTAAGCAGATTAAACAGTTTATTTACTTCATTAAAAAAAACACACACATATATATACACATACAGCATATCGCGCAAAAGTCAACCAGCGACTTCTTATGAGAAATGAGGCTTTGACTGCAAACAACTTTTCGGACCTGAGATTCGAATTTTGCAACACCCATCCAATTGCGCACCATCATTTGAATTCTGAATGTTGTTCCTCTATACACTTCTCTTGGTTGGTTTTTTTATTTGTTTCGTCGTATTTTATTCTGTTTTAATTAAATTTGTCATTTATCATTTTAAAAAGTGAAATAAATAAATAAAAACGTGATACATAAAAACATAGCCGAACCATTTAAATTTTATGATTCATGTAAATCGTCTCGAAATGAGCACTTTTATTTCCACATGATCGTGATCGAACATTTAATATGCATGGCCCGTGGTTGTTGGCCACTTTAAACTATTTGTCGCAACGTTCATTGACTTCACGGTTCACATTGTACGATGGGAATTGGCGGTGCGGTGCGATTACATTTTTTTGTACATCAATTACGATGTATTTATCTGTGTGTGTGTGTGTGTGTGTCTTATCATCAAAACATTGCTAACGGTGTCCATAATTCGATGAATGGCTCAACTTTTATCGTGGCGGTCATTATATTTCTTTTTGTGTTTTTCATACGGCCAATGCTGCCACTGACGTTGCTACGTGAAAACGTGCCTCCATAATTGTTGGCTATCATTGCAAAAAAAATGATGGGTTTTTATTCTCTTTTTGTCTCTGCATTTCAATAAAAAAAATGAACTCAATCAGCCCGATCAAGACGAAAGAAATGCATTGCGATTGGACATAAATAAAAAAAAGAGAACAGTTGGTCGAATGAGTCAATGACAACGTTTTATCCATATTTATGATGAGCAGCCGTGCATTTTCTTGCGCGTCTCTACATTACTATTGAGAGATTATAATGATGATGATGCTCAATGAAAGTGAAAACGATTTACATTGCAAGCAAATGACTTAAGAAGGCGGACAAAATGGGCAACAGTAAATAAATCAACACGTTTTAAAATTACTCAGCAATACGCGATTAAAATGCTATGGTTATCTAATTGAAGTGTGCCCATTTCAAGCTTTTGAAAAAAAATGCACATTGTTATTGTCATAAGTCAATGATTTGTTAGAATTTTTACACTGAGATAGTGTGTGTGTGTGTGTTTGTCTGAATTGATGAAATTGAGAGTGAGAGTAATTGCAATGTGCTCGCTCTCGATCCCAATGTTAGTATAAGTGAAACACTGAACACTTAACATTTTCTGTTGACTCGATTATGTAATTAGTTGTTGTTGCTGTTGTTGAAGCGATTTTTTCTGTTCGTATTTTCTTTTCGTCTTGGCCACGCAAAGACATTTAACATCGTAAATTTATTTTTACAATTTTTTATGTATACTCTGCCGAAGACTGACGAAATATCGCTTGCATTGCACTTGGAGTAGCCCAATTTTGAATATCAAAACTATGCACGTGCCCTGCTCTTTTTTTTGTTTCTCTTCTTTCGTCGTCGTTGATGGGTCGCGTTAATATTATCGGGCACGTTTTATTAGGATATTTGCACATACTCTCTTCACATATTGCTTTTCCTCTCTTGCTGCCAGATGTCATTTCAGTTCAAACGTTGGGTATTATTTTTTTATTGATTCAAATTGACACCTGTCCATTTAGCATCAATTAGTGGTTCACAAGCGTATTTATTTGATTTTGTTTGTTTCTAACAAACATTGATTGCATAACGTCACAAATATAATTTCGGCAGACCGTCCACCATCTCTTCAAATGTGATTACATATACGCAATTCTACAGTGGACAAAATCAACAGCAAAAATATACACGAAGTGACGATTTACGGTGAAAATTGCGTATTCAATCAGCAATAAAATAGAAACGCGAATTCGAATTAGCGAATTAGCAAATGGCGTCAACAAATGGTCAATTTTTGTATTTGTTATTGACTTTATTTGCGTATTGATTTTTTTATACAATCAATGCGGTTTTTATTTGAATATTTTGTTTTTTCGATTTTGTTCAAATGCAGAGAGAATTGGTAAAAAAGTTGACATCAATACAATATAAATTGGAATCCATCCCATCATTTAAAGCGATGGAAAAGGTTGAAAATAAAGCTCTTAAAATCTCTTACAAAAATTACATGATAGCCCACTTGTTTGGCCGCTGTAGTTGCCATTGTGTAATAATAAATGGTTTTTTGTTGTCGGGCTCGTTCAAAAGTCACCAAATACTCTCTCAATCGAAAAAACCATCTGAAAACGGATTTTCGTTTATTCCAGCTGTGGGCATTGTTTGGAAAATCGTGTCATCGAAAATGAAAGGTCTTGCTTTTATGTTATTAGAAGAATAATAATACGTTTCCTGACTTTTTGATCGAATCACAGTGTCCCGATTAAAAACAGTAAATTCAAATGGTTTATTATTAAAATGCAAACCCTTTGCTGGTCGAGACTGATCAGTCAAATGTTGGTTGCTTTTTTTTGTTGATTGGGTAAAAGAATTTCACGTTCAAATTCTGTGCAGTCGATTTCTCAATGGGTATCGTAGGCATATATAACGTGATGTTATGCAAACGATTGGATGATAGAATCGTTTGCGAAAAATGTAACAATGAAAATGTAAAATCGTTTCATTGATCGCTGTCTTGGATGATGTTATGCTTGTATCATTTGAATGCCAATTTGCAACAATAACAAAGACACTTAAACACTTTTAATGAATGCACAAATCCTACGCCCAATAAACAGAACGAGACAAGAGTGAGATTAGCGCAAAAAAAAGTACGCACAAAAAAGACAAACGATTACAAAATGCTTGGCGCGCGCACAAACATGAAATTTGACATCGAAAAAGGGCAAACCCATTTCGTTGAAATGAGCGTGTCTCTTTTTCTCATTTTTTCGGATAAAGTTTTCATCTTCAATGAAATTCAGTTAAATTCATCATTTGGCCGTTATTATGTGTTCTCTATTGTATTTGCGGTCTGACATTTCCACAATATTTTTTTATTTTAAATCGCAAATATTTTGACGCTTCAATGACAATGCTTCCGTTATGTATTTGTTGTTGGCGAACAGTTGTTCATTTTATATGTAGTTATAGGCATGTATTTTGATTGATTTAATTACACGCAAGTCTTGTTTACGCGATCAAACAAAATGATGTTCACATTGAAATTAACGCCACATTCATAGAGCGAGAGAAATAAAAGCAAAAAAAAAAGCAAACCGCACAGTTTCATGCAGATCAAAATTTACTGTAATAGTTACAAAAACACACACACACACACCGTTGGATTGTTATTGCTCTGTTAACATTATTGACCCACAAACAAAAAAAATACGATGTTCAAAATTGAGAAACAAAGACAATCCCTGAAACACATCGCACACCAAACGGTCGCAACAATAGGCAATAAACTTAAGTGAAAATCAAATGATGCACAAAACGGTGAATTATTCAATACAAACATTTTGTGCCACACAAATTCGTCATGCTGTGCGCAAACACACGTTTCAGCAATGATATAATCGTTCAAATGATCGAATTTGTTGTTGTTGAAATTAATGTGTGCAAATGTGATTTATTGATTTAATGCTATGTCATTTCTCCAGCTTTTACTTGTGAAGATGTGCGCTTTTTTATTCTCGATCTCGCTTGTTATTCATTGGCCGGGCCGCACAAATATCGACAATGTTATTAAAACTGAATTCATACATAAATAATGATGACTGTGCATGAAAATAAAAATGACGTTTAATGTGCGCGCTCTCGCACGCATACACTGTGATCGTAATCATTATTTCGAGAAAACAAGAAAAATTAATCCAAAACCGTCTCGAACATATCAATTATTAAGATATGCATAATAACAATGATATATACGATGGTGTTACCATTGTGTATTATTTTCGATGGCTGAACGGCGGCTGTTTCTGTGGTTACCATGCGGTCGGTTTTTATGATGGTTGAGTTGTTGTAATTTTTTTTTTTCAATGAAAATAAACGCGCGCGCACTCGCTCACACTCATCTACGAAAAATGATCAAAGAGTTAGCGCATTCATTTTGGCTTCCAATGTGAAAACCTATCGTAAATACAATGATTGTGTCCATGTGCTACGCGAATATATGTACAAAATGAAACCGAATCTGATGCTCGCAGCATGCATTGATCCAACTCAAACCAACTCAGCTCACCCAATATTGCCGTGTAATCGTTTCTCACTCTCCTTGCAAATCTCGCCAGACCAGCCAACCGTATATAAATACCACAATCGATTCAATCGACACGACACAGTCTTCGCATACACTTTCTTCCAAACGAAACATATTTCATTCGTTCGGTGCAATATTGAGAAACATAAATCGCTTTTTGCGATCACCGTTTTTTTTTATTGAAAAAAATATACTAATTTGTTTTGTGTCTAGAAATTGTACATTTGTTTTTTTTTTTTTAATTAAATATGAAAGTTTTGGTAAGTGGTTAAATTTTATTTTGTCGTTTTTAAGCAAAAGGAACAGTGAATTTTGAGCTTTATTTTATAGCTTGAGTGAATTAAATAATTTAAAAATCGTTCCGTACCCTGTACTTTCTTTCGAGCGAATAAAAAAAAACACAATAAACAATAGCATCAAACTCCAAATAAAGTGTTTGAATTAAAATTGATTAAATTCATTTTAATTCATTCGATTCGAAAAAGATTTTAAACATAAAATTGTGCTGGTAATCGATATAGTGTAATGAGATATTAGCCTGATTTTTCGCAGGGTTGTGGTTTTTCAAAGACCCAAATGTAATTTATTTATTGATAATATAGATCAATTGGTGTTGATCCAGTTTAAATAAAACCATATGTTATCAAATGTTATTTGCACTGTGCTGTAATACAACATTTTCAAAACGTAATGCCACTCAACTTGAAATAAATTGATGCGCGTATAATACACACAAAATTGTATTGTTACGAAATCGATTGATTATTTGAAACAAAAAAAAAACCACAACGCGCGCAACAAAATTGTATATACGCGCACTCTCGAAAAATTGTCAGTTTGGTATAATGAGGCAACCAACGTATTTTGTTTCCCTTTCATTTTTAATCTTCATACTTTTTGCTTCACGCGACATGCATTTTTTCCAACAATTCCGGCAAATGTATTCTCACGTTTTGAAGCCATTCGGTTATTTTATTAGTATCGAAAAAAAGTCAAGCATGGAGAGAGATTAAGTGAGAAAGAGAGAGAGGAATAAGAGAAAAAAGCCATACTTACAAATTTAAGTAATAAAGCAAATTTAATCGTTGATTAAACAATTTGAATGTTCGATCTAACGAAATACAATTAAATGAAACTCGATGGTTTCGAACCAAGTAAAATATCCAGTAAATGCCAACATTATTATGTATAGTGCAATGGACTCAAAATGTCAGCGAAATTTAATCGAAATCTCCCTTTCGAAATGTAAATGTAGACTATATATAGTTCACAATATGTACGCAGTTTGTGCCGTTTTTTGTATAAAAAAGCCTTTCATTCATGTGTCTCGAGACTTTGTACTCACAAGCATAAAACAACGGTACGGTATCGATCACTCTAGCGCTTTGGCACAACTGAATTTCGATTAGTGCTGTTGCTCATATAACTGGTTTTTTTGGTGTGTGTATATTGTATGGTCTAGATTTACTTTCTGCTTCTTTCTTTCATCATTTTTTTTTTAATTTTCAAATCGTTGTATGTTTGTACTCAGATTTTAGCAACAGTCTGTTTGGCGGCTTGTGCTGTAGCTCAACATCATCAACATCAACAACAATCCGAGCAGCTCAGATTTGATACGAGCAGCACAACCACATGGATCCCGATTTTAGCCTATAACAAAGAACAAGGTCAAGACGGTAGCTACAAAGCATCGTAAGTCACTTAAACCATTTTGTGCAATGTTTGGTTTATCTTCTGAGCAACCTCTTTGGCACTTTATTGAGCAAATAAATCTGTTTTATTATGCAATAGATACAAAACCGGTAATAATATCGATGCACAGGAAACAGGATTTTTAAAAGACATCAACGAGCAACATCCAAATGGTATTCTCGTTCAACATGGCGAATACCAATACGAAGCGCCCAACGGTGAAGTTGTGAAAGTTCAATACACTGCCGACGGTAATTTCAATTACAGTTAATTATGTACCGACATTTTCATTATTAATTTGAAACATGTAAATTATGTTGTTGTTTTTTTTTGTTTATTACACAGAGCATGGTTTTCGAGCAATAGGTGACCATATACCTACAGCACCTCCAATACCACTTGGTAAAGATTTATTGTGGTGGTTTTCTTCACCAAATAGCATTTTTAATCGTTATTTTTTTTTTTTTTCAATAGAAATTCAAAAAGGTTTGGAGCAAATTTTCGATGGTATCAAAAAGAATGCTGAACTCAATGCCCAACGTGCCAAGTCAGACCCCGAATTCGCTAAGAAACAAGAGGCTCGTGCTCAAGCCGACTATTACGGACACTATGTCCCATCGAAGTAAACATATATAGCATTATTACTCGATTGTTGTCCAATCAACAACAAAAAAATACTCTCTTTTCCTCTCTATTCTCTTCCTTTTTTCTATATTTCCATTTCACATTTTCCATTCGGCTTTTCGTTTCAGGCAAAAATCAAAAACAAAATTATCGACTTTTTTTTTGTTTAAAATGTTTGTTTTAATTTTTGTATGTGTCAAAATTGTATCAATTCAAATGAAGAAAAAAATAATAGTTTTCCACAAACGCGAAAAATCTAAGACTGTGATTAAATTCTGTATATAAAAGAATGAAAAGAAATGAAAAATAACAAATAAAGAGAACTATGCCATTTCTGTTAAAAATATAAAACGAATTGATTTTTTTGTCAATTAAAAAATGCTTTTTTTTATTTTGACAGAGATGAAAAATGCTTTTTTAAAATGAATGAATAAAAATTCATGTTCAATCACAAATTCTTTTTATTGATGAAACATAAGGAATCTTGTATTAAAATTTTATTGAATATGAAAAGTTTGATTACCTGCCGGTGGAAATCAAAGTGAGAACACAAATTGCGTTCCAAATAAAATCGAAACTTATAAGATTCTTTCGTCTTTTTGTCATTCCGACATTGTGATGGAAAGAAATATACATATATTTAAAGTGATATTTGATTTATTTGGAAAAGCTTAAAATTACGCCAAAAAGGCGGCAAAATACCATATGCAAATGAACAATGTCTGATGTGCAACGAAAAGTGAAAACAATAAAAAAGTATTACTTTCCATAAAACTCAACATAAATTGTTTTTTTTTTTATTTATGCAAAAAAATCAGTGTATTTTCTCATGAGCAATAGAAGTATAAGTAAGTAAGCTACTGCCCAAAAGACTCGGATAATGATTGATCAATGTATAAGCGCATTTGATTTTATTGTACTTTTACTCATGGGTATGCGCCAGCTGATTCCATACTTTTTCAATCACAAAATAGTATAAAGTCTTTGTATAAGTTCTGTTGTGAATTACTACTGAAATACGATATCAAAAGAGCGGACCGTATATTTTCAGAGCGCTGCAATAAAACACTTGTTGGGTCAGGTGCATAAACGAGACGGTTTTTATTGAATTAAAAGTGCATTGTCTAAACGTCCGTTAATTGTCATATACAATTAATGAGTGCGTTTACAGAAATCATTTGATCACCAAATTCCAACAAGTTCACCAAATCCACTGAACTGATTGCAACATACGAATAAGCAATGTGGTCGCAACCGAGCTTTTCGAAAGGTTTCGATTCTCTTCGAATCAAAAAGAACTCAAACACCAGCGAACATGGATGAACAAGTGAGCGAGTTTTTCTGATTTTTTTTTTTTAAACAAGTGCAATTAAATAATTCACCCAAAAGTGTATATTATAATGTTTGTTGTGTTTTTTTCGTAGATGAATTACACGAAATACACCGAAAAAGAATCAAAACGCCGGTAAGTGAATTTATATTTAACAAAAGAATGCAATATATCTAATGGTTTTTGATTTTAACACTCTGTGTTTTCAGACGCGAAAATGAGCGAAAATCTTTTTCTTTTACGCAAATTATCTTCGTTGTTTTTATTTTTGTATTAATTTTACTTGGCCAGATCTACTTCAATGTTCATTTAACGAAAAGTTTCGAACCAATAATATTTTCAAAGTCTGATCGATTGATAGAATACCAATCCATTTCATGGGAACTGCCACGTAATCCGAATGCTTCAAATGAAGTAATCGCCAATTTTAGCTATTTGTACACTCATACCATGACAAGTTTTACGGACATTGTTAACAAAACTCGTGGTTTTGAGGGTTTAATGATTTCACCTCACAGTGTCATAAGCAAACCTTCCATTTATTCACTATTCCCGGTTAAAGATCGTGACGATGTACAAATTTTGTTTTTCAAATGGAACGGTTGTTCCGTTGGGCACTTTATAAACATATTTTACAATTCCTTCAATAAAATTATACAGATTTATGACAGTTGTGTTACTTATCACAATGAAACCGCTAAAAGATACGTAGAAAATTGTATTTGGCCAATTTTGAAAACCCTCTATCCAGATTCAAAGAACATCTTAGAATGGAAAACGCCAAAAAGCATACAAAAAGATCAATTTTCATGTGGCGTGTATGCAATCGAATACTCCATATTACACATTTATGGTCACGATCCGGAAAATGTTGAACTGGATTTAGCTCATTTTCACATAGATCCAACCATGAAACTTCGACAACATATTTCTGATATGTTGGAACAGGGACGAATACTTCCACCGCCTATTTTATAGATTTTATATAGATAAAAAACAAAAAAAAAATCTTTTACTAAATAACATTTCTTGATTATTCTAACATTTTTTATCAAACATTTATCATTTATGTTTGTTTACGGAGTATCGTTTGATGGGGTTCTCTGCTTAGATGTGAATCCTACGGACTCATTTAAGTGGATAGACCATATGACGGTATTTCCTGTGTTTTTTCATTTTTCCGTGTAATGGTGCATGGTGCACGTAACGATAAACAATCCATGCATATGGGAAACCATTTTTAATGCCGCCAAAAACGATCAGAAAGAAATGTGTAATAATAAGTTTGATTGTTTTTGCCTGTCAGCAGCCAGGAACAGAAGGCAGACTGGAAATGGTCGAAACTCAAAGAAAACTACTAAATCTGCTCGAATTTTCATTTAAATATATTCGATCGCCGCACAAAAAATCGGTTAAGTTTTAACATGAACGATGCTTCTTAAATTATGTATGTTTTAAATTAAAACTTTTTCTGAGCTGTTTGTAATGTTCCAGATATTCGAACTGTTTTCTAAACGCGAAAGTAAATAAAAGAGAATTTCAATGAAACGATAAAAAATACTTAAACAGTAAATAAAAAAGAGAATTCGTGCAATATTCTTTCATTTCATTGAAATTCCAAGAACAAAACCGCGTATTATCGCAATGATAATGTCGCGGAACGCGGTTTATCGCAAATACTCACTAACACTATGGTCAATATTATGGAATTTTAAAAAATAGCTGTAAACTGAAAACGAATATTAGTTGTGTGTGTTCGTTGTTTTGTCTACTCCTTTATCTTTTATTTAAACATACTGGACACTTTATATTATTATTTTCTGATATTCGTAAACTTGTTCCAATTTCGGATTTCATACGACTTCTTTGCTGAATTATTCTCTTTATGGTGAACACATCGAATAGCGGAATAGCGTTGATTGTATGCGACCATTTCAAAAGAAGAATCATACAAATAAAAATGCATTAAAATAATTATTAACTATTTATTAATAGAATCGTTTCCTGTTTAACAATATAGCTTTATCTAAAGTATGTGGAGTTATGATTTGTAGTCGTTTGGTTAGTCAAAAAGAACATTCCAAGTGTTTGAATTGTTTATTAATATTTAACTTATTTCATTATTTTTATTTTTTATTTCAAAATTGCAGTAAAAAAGGTATACATAGATTTATATATTTTGTTCAAGTTGAAGTATAAGTTTTTATTATGGCCTAAAGTAGGCTGAAAGTTCAATGTAATTATTGAAAGAATCCCCTCTTTAATCTGATTAAGATTTTTAATGATTGATTATTTCTGATTTTAATCTTGTGGACGCTTAATGCTGAAACTGCGAATGATTGATTTTCCGTTGCAAGAAATTCTTGTATCATCATCCAGTTGAATCGCCCATGCGCATGACTGTCTGAAGCCCCAACTCCGTTGACCGATCACTGGAAAGTAGGAGTAACATTTATTGGATGCCTTCAAAGCAATCGAATAAATGAATTCGGGTGCAATGGTAATATCATGTGCCGATAAATCAACGTAACATTCTTCTATTTCGTTTGGTTTAAATATCACTTCATGGAATGCATTGCATGTTTTTTTACCCTCCAATCGTTTACATAACATCATTTTAAATGAAACGCCATTTCGATTGATTAGTGTATTAATGACGGGAACATTTCGAAGTGGGCTCAATAGATTCGATGGTTTCTTCATGACTGGAGCGAAATAAATGCCTTTCAATGTAAATCTTTTGGTTGTTGCAAATGTGCAAAACATTCTTTTATTTGGAATCTCTTCCCATTCGGCAACAAATCTTGGACCGAGATGGAATCTTTCATTGTTTGCATCTCTTACACCGGACACCAATCGGTTGACGTGACCATAATCGGCTGGATCTTCAAACAATTCAGCGATATCTGCATATTTTTTCAGATTTTCACTTTTTAATGAACCAAACCGAATTCTGTAAATTGAATTCATTATATATTGTCGAAGATTTTTCATTCGATCAGCATGTAAACCATTTTGTTCGCATTTATTTCGAGCCCAATTTAAGCATGCTTTCAATATTACTGGTTCATCGCATACGATTCCATCCAATTTTAAAATATTATCGAACACAATGTGGTCACAACGTAAAAAACTGGACGTTTCAAATACCAATCGAGGATAATCACGAATTTGATTTTCACAAAAATCTTTCACCTCCGCCATTTCGTAGAAAATGGCCCAGCCATAAATCAAACAACATTCTTCAATTGTAAACGACTCGATCAAAAAATTCTCGCAAATTGGTAAATATTGAAGTACATTGTATTTTTTAATCAAATCAATTACTTCCGTAATAAACTGAAGACGAAGAGTTATTTCATCCAAATAGTAGAAAAATTGTAAAAAATCTTTGAAAGCCTCCGGTGAGTGTTCCATTATATTTTGATCGCTATCGTTCGCCAGTTGACCATAAAACATTGCTTCGAATGCATCACTTTGCCTAGACAAAACCGTTTTATGTGCCGGGATACGTTCACCTTTGTCTCCACACAAAAAATACACATCGGCCGTTCTTTTATCCAAATATCGTTTTGGTGCCATCGCTTGAATTGATGGCACACTCACTTCATTTCCCATATTCAATGTAGTGATATTTCTTATCGATTATTTATTTTATTTTTATTCTTTGCTTTTATCTCGATTATTTTCTGATTAACTAAATTATTATATTACACTTGATATTTTTATTTAAAAAAAAAATGTCTTCCGACGAAAGACCCTTTCGTATCAACTCTAGAAAAGAACTACTTGTTGAAAAAGATGCTTGTTTTTAGATGTGACGCACACTCCTTAGGCAAAAAAAAAATACATTTACATGTATATACCTGGGTCACAACGATTATGAATGTGGTAGAAATTCGTAGAACTAATTAGGTCGAGTCAATTGTCAATATGGCTGACCGTCATTGTCGAACCGAAAAAATATGCCGCCATTGGAAGCTTGCAAAGAAAATATGAGCTCAGTTGTCTTATATTAGAAAAAATAAGTTATTTCTATTCTCAAAATCATGATTTGATTGATGCATTCAAATCAAATAAATCACTTGATTTAATAAATCAATTCATTTGATTTGATTTTATTTGATTTGAATAAAGTTAAATAAAATAATGTGAACACATTTCTTGTGATTTTCATCGTTTGATTTGTTTTGAGTTGGTTTTTTAAATCACTGACCCATTGTATACTGAATCAAATAAAAAACCATCTGTGGCCCTGAATTTTGACCCTTTTCTTGAAAGGATCATATTTTGAAGACAGTTTGACCGATTTTTAAACTTTGATGTTTTTTTCTTAATCTATAGCCCAAGGGCTTTCCAGCCATACATTATTCGCGGCGAACGGCCTTCTAGGTTATAATTTGAAAATTACTTGTATATATTATCTATTGAATATATCGAGAAGAGAGTATGTTGTTCAGCGCTTATAGCTGAGTAATGTCTGAATAAAAACATACTCTCCTCTCGATATTTTCAATAGATATAGCAAGTCGACTTTTCAACACACTGCCATCCGCTGTGATATGTTAAAAGATTCAAATAATGCTCACCATTATCAGGCGCTAGACAATTAAATACTCACACGAGACAACTACAATTGTTTTGGCCTCTAAATATCTATTGTGAATGTGGATACCTATAACTTTTTTATACACGTAGCACGATTGTATGTGGTTGGGTTTCTATTGAATAAACATTTTAATCACGCAATATTCTTATTTAATTTCATAAGATTTGGCCCATATTATTTCACACTAACTATATTATAAATATAGAAATATGGTCAGTGTGAAATGATTTGTGTATGATTGTGAATAACTATATCACAGTCGCTCTTTCATTTTCTGTCGGAATTTGTATTGATAACGTTTAGGGTATAAATAGACGTGAATGTTGATTTATGCTTCATTTATTCAGTGTTTCAGTAATCGATCATAGCGACGGAAAATATGGTACATTGTAAAATTGTAATAATATTGTTGATCATTTCAATTTTTTACACTCGAACATATTGCGAGAAACTAACCGGGGAATATGAACACAATCAGTTCTATAATATTCGGTGTGAATTCGGAGGAAGCAGAGGTGCGATTCAAATTTTTGGAGGGAGTTTAATACCTAAATTGACATCAGCCCAAACAAATAGAGAAATAAGAGATCGAATAATTCGGAATTTAGAGAGAAGTTGCAATGACAAAAATGAGTGTGGAGGAAAAAAATTGCATATTCATAATAGTGAAAAAATAGCAAAGCAATTCAAATTTCAAGCCAAATATGAATGTCATTATTGTCCACATCCTGATTTTGTCCATAAACATTATTTTAATGGAGTAGGAAAAATGGAAGCTTTTGCCAGGGAATCAAATAAACGTAGACATGAATTTTCTTCAGCAACAACCGTTTTTACGGGAAACATTCAATATATTCGAAAAGGAGACCGGTGTGAATTCAGTCAAGCTGCTGAAAAACATCGGTGCACTTATGACAGTCAGAAGAACGAATGGACATGTGAGGAAAAAGGACAGGAAAAAGCTAGTCACGATACTATTTCGGGCCACTATGAATAATTGCATTGATTTTTGTTCCATCGATTGTTGAATTGAAAAAAATCAATGATTGAATAGATATAAAACAACTTTTTGGCTGTTTATATGAATAAATATTTTCAAGTATCTGAAAAAAGCATTGTTTTCTTCACTAAAAAGACACATGTTTAGTAAGTAATTCTTAAGCGATTATCAAAATAGAAAATATTTTTCAAGATCAGAGATTTTTTGGAATTCAATTAAAACGTTTGATTGTTTACATTTTGTACAAAATTGTTTATGGGATATGCTTTAAACAAGAAATAAATTGGTTTTCATATCTGTATGCTAAATTGCTAATGCAATGTTCTTTCCAATGACATTAGACTACGCCAAATTTTTTGCCAGTAGTTGAGTTTTCCATTCATATGCACACACGCGGCAACATTCAAAGAGAAATGAAAGAAAAAATAAAGTCCAATGATGAATATTTATGATTTACTTCAATTTTTATTCAATACCAATGGGCTAATAAAGCATTTTTGTTGCGTTAGTTAGACCATTTTTCTTTAACAAAAATTAAAAACTGATTCGATCACAAAATTTGACAAAGAGGACATTTAAATTATAATAAAACATTTTTGTCATATTACATCAATATTTAAGGTTTAGTAAGCATCAGAAATTGTTCATTGCATTGGTCCAGCCATTCCGAATCATTTGCTGCCTTGATACAACCCTTTGAATAAAAAATAATTGTTAGTCCGTTTGTACTTTAAACTTGAATTAATTTTAAAACGTTCAACAAATTATTTCAAAAAAAAAATCACCTGAGTTGTAAGCCGAGCAGACGATAGCTGTGATGCTGCTGTGGTTTTAAGGTTATCTTCCACTTCTTCATATGCTTTCAAACTTGACTCGCACAAATCATTGCAAAGTCCTAAAACTTGAAGCGTCCCCTCCGATGTTTTTGTCCACGCATTTTTTCCCTATAAAAAAAGAACTAAAATTCAAACGCAATTCAAACGACAAGTAAATTATATTTTATATAGTCACCTGTGTACGATAGGCCTTTTGTAATTTCTGCGCTCTTTGAAGTGGTTCTTTGTCGAACAGTTTAGCAGAAAGCTCAAATACCATGGTCGGATACTGCACACATAATTGTGCTAGAAGAATCTGTGCTTTTTTCAGAAGACGTTCACTGGGGCGACCTAAAATGTATGTCGGTTTTAAGAAAATATTATAATGAAAACAACAATAATTGTATACCTGTCAAAACTTCTTTATCTGAATATTTTGATTTGTTCCAACATTCAAAGCCGTTCGGTTCAATATGTGTATAGTGTCGATACGCTTTTGCAGCCAATTCCCAGCGTTCAAGTGACAATGCTGAATAACCAAGTCTTGACCAAACCGATTCTTGCAGTGAATTAATGGCAACTGCCACAATTTTCTACATTAATGAGCTAAAAAAGGTCTTTACTTTTTGAATCAAAAACCATAGCAAATTCAAATAATTTTCGCGAAAAAAATTTCTTATCCAAATCACAGGGGAAGGTAAATTCCAAGTGCGCGCACCCAACATTTATATGGAATCGGGTGCGAGCACCCAAGAAGAGTTGCACACACCTTGTAAGGGCGCGCACTTTTGAGGTGCATTTACCAACTCTGCTCCGCACACTACTGTACTACTACTAAATTTCCATTTTTTTCAGCAAACTATTTGCTATTGTGACTTCAGTTCATTTGCAAATCGTTCTTAATTTAATATTTATTTTTATTTAATGAATGTGTCAGAATAAAAACTCAACTTCATATCTCACCTCCTGCTCACGCTTTTGGAAAATCCTTCAGGAGAGAGCAGGAGGTGAAATGCGAAGTTGAGTTTTTATTCTGACACATTCTTATGGCTCTTACATTCCAAATAGTTTTTGATATTGTGGTTATTTCAATTGGAAATTTTAGGTGGACCCATATGATTTGGCTGTTTATTCTGTCTCATATGATGGAAATTTTGGCGTTTTGTGTGGCATGAAGTATCATTGTCGTGTCAATTTGTATGATTCGCGTGTGCCAAACAAGTATATTCAATTATATTTTCCGAGACAACGTTTACGTGGTGCCTAAAGCTTTAGTTCTCCAGCATACCAAGTAATCAATGATCAAAGCCAACTACACTGACAAAACTAAGGTTATGCTTTTGACAACACCGTGTTGTAAATGCTTACATTCCAACGAATGTTGTGAAGTAGCCAACAATTGTTGTCATTGTGAATACGTACAATGGCATATATTATATGTATTCACAACGACAACAATTGTTGGCTACTTCACAACATTTGTTGGAATGTAAGCATTTACAACACGGTGTTGTCAAAATCATAACCTTAGTTTTGTCAGTGTATTTATCTCAACTGATTATAATTTGCGAGTATTGGATTTCGACGCTGATTGGGCTGCGACAAAAGGCTATATAAACATTTTTGAGCATGAAATGATCGTTAATTCATAGCGCAATTGTACTGCTTCTGTATATATATTTTTAAAAAAATTATTGGTATACCTCAATTTATTGTAAACGTATAGAAGAGGACCGTTCAGAAAAAATGTGTGAAAAGTCTATAAAATGAATAAAACTATGTATTTCTTTGTTACAATTTGCATTTAATTTTTATTTAGAAGGCAAAAAAAGGGTTAAAAATCACTAACGTAGGACCAAATTAATTTACATCTAATGATGTTGTGATGTGATGATGTGGTTCTTCATCTTCATCATCGTCTTCTGTTAGAATAAAAAATCGAAAAAAATATAGTAATATGACTACATTTCTTGAAATGAATTAAAAAAATCTATTTGCGCCAATAAACAAGATTGTATTTGCAAATTTTTTCAATACATTTGTTCCCCAATAGATAACAACTGAATGACATATAAGAAATTTCGACTCCAAATTTTACATGGCGGTATATATAAATTAAGCAATTTCTTACCTGAGCCAGTTTCAACATTGCTATTTGTTGAAGCTCCAATATTGTTACGAACTGAATCAACAGGATCATGGTTCAAATTAACAGAGCTGTTCACTCCTCGATTTATAGCATTATCAACGTGTAGTACACGAACATGAATTGATGGACGGCTGTTGTTACTACTGCTAGAACTTGCATTATTGCCTGATCTCATAGTATTATTGCTTCCATTGCTTGAATCTTCACATTTGTTATTGTGTGAAAGCGAACAAATGTATTTCTCATCTGTTCCCAATTTCACAAGCTCTTCAAGCAATCGAATAATTGCCTTTGTTGCTTCCGTTTTTAGGTTCGGTTGATGATGCATTAATTCATCCATGGCGTTGGATTTGACAACCAAGATTTGCTGCAGTATCACCTTTTGGATCGCTACTTCGTCGACGTCGCATTGCACGATCGATAAAATCCAAAATCATGGCAAATGAATAATGGATGTTAGTGATCGTAGGGCGGCTAGATTGGTTTGTCGCATTTCCAATAGTTCAACTAATTCTTCTAAGAATCCTGGATCCAGTGTGTTTATATTATCTTGTAATGAATTGGAATAAACAAGCACGGACAAAGCTTGCAGACGAGCCAAAACAAATTGCAGTTGGGTCTCATAATCGTGAAATGCCAACGAAAGTCGTACGCGTGTGAAAATCAACATCTAATCAGTAGTCCAAATACATAAAGATAAACATTAAAATCATATTTCAACAAAATGTTTTATTGCAGTTGACAATCTTACCTTTTGGTCGTCGTCTAATGAAATTGGTATTCTACAGCACATCAAATAGGCAATTTCACTGAGATTTGTAATGCCAATAAAATCGCCAAACTCGTCCTGTTCGATGGATTTAAGCTTACCATTACTGTCATAGTATTCGTAGTAACATTTTGGGAATGAATCGGTAATTTTCATTGAACGATGGCAACATTCGGCCAATCCATATCCGTGCTCTTTTCCACCCCAACTCTGTGCGTGCATACAATAAAAATAATGAAAAAAATGTATTTAATTTCTTCTCAATTTAATTCACAACAATTGTTTATGCTCACCTCTGCTATGTAGATGAGTCGGGCAAGGAGCGCGTTTCGTTTGGCACAATTCAATCGTGGTATAAAATTGCTACGCTTCGAAAACATGTACAATAGGTTCACCTAGGACAATTTCCATGTTTGTTGACGGCAATAATTGAGTTAGATGTTCCACCGAATGTCCAGGTGTCAATTTTTCGCAACTCATCCAACAATTCATCCATTGAACAAGACCGCAATTTATCAATAAGTGTTTGACATTCAGTCGGCACTTCTGAGGTGCTCTTTTTCAGGCGGCTTGTATCGACTTTCATTTTGGTTTTTCAGTTTGAATGTGTTTTGTTATTTATTGTGTGTGTATATTGTTATTGTGATGTTAATATTATTATGATATTTGTTATTTTTGGGCTAAATGATTTTAAACACGCCTCAAGATTATTCTTCGTTGGCAGATCGACCAATGTGCCCAATTCCTGTGAAGTTGACTGTCTTATTTAAATTATTTATCGTTGCTACCGTATAATCGACAGTAGAACGGGCAACCCGATCAAGTTCACGAAAGCAAAACCCAATCACCCAAAACGCAATAAGAAGAATCACCCCGGAAATAATCAGCAAACGGATAAACCACCAACAGACTTCAGTGCGAGTTAGTTCAGTGCTTTTGATAACAACTTCAATTGGATCACTACCGGTGGTTCTTTCACCTTTTTCTATTGCGCCCGAACGGGCACCAGAGCCCCCAAAATCAATTTGTGCTTGGTTTGTTACGCTTGAATATGATACTCCTGGATTACTTATTGATTGAGCCATTTGTCTTTTCCTCAATACGATTTTAATAGTGCGATATTATTGCACTTTGCGAATAAAAAATCAATATTTAGTTTATTTGTATCGATTCAATCAAAGATTATCCGTAAAAATCATCTAAAACTTTAATCTGTTGTATTTTTTATCACTGATAGTTCACGTTATATTCGTCATTGATTTTAAGTTGTGAACTACACAAAGTTTATGGTTTATTTTCGTACCTATAAAAAATAAAATAAGAATTAAATACATTTACCGAAACATTTTCACTTTTACTTTTTCTTCTTTTTAATCATTTGCTGGTTTTATAATCGCCATTATAGTTTGATATTTAAACATTAAAATTTGTAAATGAAAAAAAAAACTACATTTCTTATTCTGAAGAAATGATTCGGTCTGTTTGAAGTCGAGTCTCGTCATAATTTTGGAATTATTTCAATAAATATACGTATTTCCATTTGACATACTGTCTCGAGACAGTGAAAGACAGTCGAAAAATGAAAGAAAAAATAAAGTCCAAAATATATTTACCTTTGATGAGTCGTACAACTTTTGTTCCCAAATTAAATGTTGAAATACACAGACTCTCTGTAGTTAATCTACCAAAAATTTTAGTTATCTTGATGGAAAAATAAAAGAAAAAAGAATAAATAAAAAATGCAAAGCAAATAAAATACATTCATTTACATTGAATTTATAAAAGTGTTATTATTTTATGTAGTTGAACTGTTCTCTTTCATTTCATAGTTCTATTTTATGGTGAATTTTGCTTGTTTTTGAATTTGTTTTAAAATAATAATGTATTTCTCAAATATCAAATACACACATTTAAGGTCTTGAACATTTTTTGTTCTTTCATTCGTGTCATAGAGCCAGCAACTCTATATATCTAATATTACTATTGTTAGTTTTTATCTTCTTTGCTTCAATGCAATGAAACCAAATAAACTTCAAAGATATAATAAGAGATGGTGCGGACAATCGAGACCATTTGTTGACCACAGTGTGTGGCCCATTGAGTTTATGACCAAACTGTAGAATACCAATTAGTCCATGTATCCATACCCCAATTTTACACTACACAAAAATCCGGCCCGAATGTTGACCGTAAACATATGCCATTGGATCGTTTTGCATTAAAAATTATTCCTTGGGATGCTCAAATACAACTACAAACACAGAGACATTAAATTGAGAACAGATGGCGACTCATTTAGCACGAAATAAATAAATCTTTAAAATGATAGATGTTCACTCAATTTTATCGTATAAAAAATTATTTTCTCCAATAAAGTTCTTTCAAAATATAACATTATTATTTACCCTGTATTAATTATAGTGTATTTGACAAGGCATACTTACTTAAAAATTACTATTCCATTACTCTACAATTCCTGATCCATTCCTTCGATTCATATTCCATTCTGTTCCATTACTTATTGATTAATTTCCATTTTTTCCATTCTTTTCTTCTGATCAAATCTAGGGTAAAATTGTTAGCATCGTTTACAAAAAAAAAGTTTACATATTATCATACTTCGGGGTTTTTCCATTTTTTTTTTATTATTTATTCAAAAAGAGATATGTGATTATAGATGAAGCGTCAAACATTGACTGATGACGATTTGCATTTTCGTTATAGCACACACTTTACCAAAGGCAACACATGAAATATGGATTAAGAACGCCTTATTAGTCTCAAAAAAAGAAACTGTCAATTGGAATGATAAGCAATGGTTTGGTAATGCAGCAAATCAAAGACACACAAGATAAAAGAACAATAATTTTGAAAGAAAATGCACCACCCACTTCTTGAGAGCATGCACCCGATTCCATATGAATTTTGCCGCACATAGACCTACTTTATTGTTTATCTTTATATTTTATTGTAAAAAGCCTTCAAAAATTGTAGATCAAAATGATAGTGGAGGTTGGAACTTTTAAAAAAGTTCGAATGACAGCTCTACCTTTTGTTAGTGAAATGGCATCACACTTTCAAATAATTCAATTATATAATATATATGCTGCCACAAGCTGTCGCTGGTGTCGCCGCATGGCTGTCACATTTATCGTGTTGTCAATGTTTACTAAGTGTCAAATCGAAGCTCACACTTGGTGTATAGACTTCTGAGATGATAAAATTTCAGTTTTTTACATAACTTGAACATCAAATGACATCAACAAAAAAAACGAACCATCAACAAATCGAGTGCTTTTGAGACAAAACAATCAAAGTGAATATAATTGCTTTGCGGTTGATTGTCTGCAAAATGTCTGGTTTAAATCGGATGCACAGAATTTTGCAAGTTTACATCAAGTCTCAATTCAAAAACGACCTCACAATTATTACATGGTCACGTGGTTTTGCCACACAAACAAATCCAAATCAACGTACATCTGAAGGGCCAATAAAATGTCTGCAGGAAAAGATCAATTCTGGCGAATTAAAGCCAGACGAGCATCAGATCAAGGTTATGGACGATTTGCAAAAGCTTTACTACACGATCCAAACATACGTACCAGCTGAAATTCCATCACAAAGTTCTTTATTCAAATGGTTACCAATCAAAAGTACAAAACCAAAGAAGAACAATGCACCGAAAGGACTTTATATCTATGGAAGTGTTGGTGGCGGCAAAACTACATTAATGGACCTATTTTATGATAGCTGCTCGACGGTGAGCATTTAAAAAAACATATCTTGAGAAAAATTCAAATTCGAGAATAACAAAAAATAAACGGCATTTCATGTGAAAAATGGTAATTTTACAGATATCGAAAAAGAAGCGAATCCATTTCAATTCATTTATGACGGATGTGCATGCAAAAATTCACGAGGTCAAAGAAAAGGAGAGCAAAATCTATCAGTATGTGGGAAGTGATAAAGCAAATCCGTTCGATCCAACGCAACCAGTCGCTGATATGATCACAAAAGATACATGGCTGCTGTGTTTTGATGAATTTCAGGTAAAGAAATGAACTATTTTTCATAGCGCTCCTTGTGAAAGTTTATTTGGTTGTTATTTCTATTTTTTTCTCGATTTTCCAAGGTAGTTGATATTGGTGATGCAATGATTCTCAAAAGATTGTTCACCCATTTGTTCGATCGGGGTATAATAATGATAGCGACAAGCAATCGACCACCGGATGATTTGTACAAAAATGGTTTACAACGTAGCAATTTTCTGCCATTTATTGATATTTTGAAGGAACGCTGCGATGTCAGCTCATTGGACAGTGGAATTGACTACAGAACAATAGCGATTAAAGGCGATGGAACAAACTTTTTTGTGTAAAGAAATCAATATTAATCTCACATGAACTGTGATTAAAATTGTCATTTTCATCTTCTTCTTCTTCTTTTTCAATCAAACAGGAAATCAAAATGCAATGCGGACGAGGAGTTAAATAGGGTATTTAAAATTCTGTCTAGTCAAGAGAATGATATAGTACGACCACGTACGATTACACATTTGGGAAGAGACTTAATATTCGACAAAACATGCGGCCAAGTTTTATTTAGCACATTCGATGATCTGTGCGATCGAGTACGTATCAGTTTCTATCGTTCGTTTTCATTTTGGCAATTCAATACGGAATGATTTTTATTTTTAAAACAAAACAATATTATACAATCGCATCGATGCCATAAGTTCAATTTGAAAATCAATCACATTCTCGACGCATTTCATTCACATTTTTTGCTTTATTTTATTCAGATATTCCATATATGCAAATGGTAAATATTCTCTGTTTGTGTTTACCGTTTACCGCAATTCATGAATCTACATCCAATGCCTTTTTTTTTATTTTGTTCCCATTTATTTTGATGCTTCGATGGCTGTTTGATGTTTTACTTCATTTATTACTTTGCAGCCATTAGCGGCAAATGACTATCTTCAAATATCACAATACTTTCACACGGTCATAATAAAAGATATTCCACGTTTGACACTCGATCAAAAATCACAGGCACGACGATTTATTACACTCATCGATACGTTGTATGATAATAGAGTACGGGTAAGAGTGGTTCATTGTCAATGAAAATCTTGTGAAACAAAATGATTCCTTTCCAATTTCCTCCAAACTAATTTTTTCGTCAAATTTTGTCTCTTTTTAGGTGGTCGCTTCTTCGGATGTTCCTTTAGATCAGTTATTTTCGAAAGAGAAAAAAGACGAAGGATTTATTTCGGATGAGCATCGAAAACTTATGGATGATTTGCAAATATCACCCGATTCTGTAATAAATACTTAAAATTCGCATACTATATCGTGACCAATCGAAATTTACGAAAATATCTTTTTTTTTATTCTCAATTTGTTTAGGATCAAGCGGCTGCCAATGTGTTTACCAGCGACGAAGAGATATTTGCGTTTCAGCGAACGGTGTCGCGATTATCTGAAATGCAAGGTAGTGAATATTGGGAACAATGGACAAAGAAGTCACACTAATCGCACAACTTCTATCGAACGAAATCGATAATAAAAAGAAACTTAATGGCATAACAGTACTTATTATTGTGTGCAATGCTTAATTTGGGAAAAAGTTGTTAGTTTTTTTTTTTGGTTGTATTCATGTTATTATGTATTGTAAATAATTTATTTGATGAACGATTCTAATTTATAATTTCAGTCTATTAAAGAAACGAAAATATCAGAAATGTAAGTGAAATGTTTCAAATGAAAAAATTGATTTTGTAAAATCATGAAGAAAAAAAAATAAAAGGAAAAGTTTGCATGAAAAAAAAAATTATTTCAAAAAGATGACTTTGTAAGGTTTGACGAACGAGGTTTTTCATGTAATTCTGCCAACTTGATGGCCGCAATTAATACACGGTGTTGCCACCGTACAAATCACATCGAAACTGTCATTGAAGAGATAATGAAAAAATTTCTGACTTTTCGTACACAAATTTTTGTGAAGACAAATTTTTGGCTGACCAAAATAAAAAAAACACCCCAATAAAGATGTGGTACGAGTGTATTCCATCATATGCAATTATGACCATTTGCATGTCGATGCCAAATGTTGTCTTGTACGGACTTAATAAATTGACCCAAAATGGAAATGTAAGTGTTTAAATATGAATTTCATTACAACAATATATTGTACAATTGATAAATAAACTTTGCCCAATGTATGGGTTATGTAATGCCATGTCGGTGCCATTCGCAATAAATATTGTTCTATTGGAATCATTTTGCATTTATATTGAAATTCGTTCTAATCGTTGGATTTGTGTAATTTTTTTCAGGCCTATAGTCGATGTGCGGACGAGAGATGGGACCGATTTTTTATTGCAAGAGATCGTGCTCACACTGGCAGCGAATACGTTTGCAATGTAAGAAAATATGGTTTTGTTTACGTTAAATTCTATACTATATTCTATCAATTTGATTGCATTTTTAAGTATTTATTTATTGGAATATGGTACAAGGCAAATGCATTCAAAGTTGAAGCGTGTTATCATTTAATTATTCAAAGAAAAATGAATATAAATTTTGGACCATTAAATGAATAACTCAATGTTTTTCAAACAAATGGAAATCGAGAAGAAAAAACTCCCTTTTTTTGCTCATTAAAACAGACATGATCAATTTTTGGTGATGTTTTATTTTAATTCCCTTCTTTCAATTGTAGGGCTTGGAAACCATTCCAGATGAACCACAAAAGAAGTGAGCCGCAAAAATAGGCATACACCGAAACCACACCATTTAAATTCTTGTAGCCGATTAAATAAGAAATAAATTAAAACAACAATGTATAGATGAACATCAATGGAATTTATTTTATTTTCTTTTTCTCATTCAATTTGTCGTTTTTATCACTAAAAAAAATAAATCAGACAAAAGTAATATGTTTCAATTTTACAAAAGAAAAAAAAAAAATTATGAATCTAATTGCGTCGCCGTCGAACTCTTGAGATACGCCACGAATTGGGTTCTTCGTATTTATTATAGAGTGGTTCGAGACGTTGATTTTTCTTGAATTTACTGAGTTTCGTTGGATCGCTAAAGCGAAAGAATGCCGATGCAAATTCGACCAACCATTTTGGATCGATTGTTGTTACTTCTCGCATATATTCTTTTGTTGTTTGCACCAATTCATGATAAACAACCCATTCGGGTTGTCGATTGAATAGAGCGCTCGATGGATGAATATAAACGACTTGTGAATCGACAATTGTTCGATAGCCTTCTTGTGGATCTTTCTTTGATGCATTCCGAAAGAAACCCGAACAAATTGCCTTTTGTACGCGTACCGTATTCTTTCCGGCTGATACAACATCCAATTTATGTCGATCCATAATGCCAAGCAATTGTTTTCTCACATCCTGTGCTCGTTTCAACGTTCGAATTTGTACAAAATTTTCATAGCACCAAGCATTCGAAAATTTATTATTTTTCCAACTATTGTAAACCGCAAGCAGAGTCAAATGGTCGCCTTCAAGTTGATTGAATTTCGTTTTCTTTTGATCAGCTAACGCTTGTTTATCTTTCGGTCGATAGAAAACATTCTGTACGCTAAGCATTGATACGATGGTTAGCACCTCATCCGAACACTGTAACGCAACCGACATAATTAACATTTTCGATAGATTTGGTTCCAGCGGAAATTCAGCCATTCGACGTCCAAGTCGTGTCAATAATCCTTCGTCATCCAATGCGGACAATGAATGCAATTGTTCCAATGCCATAACCAGTGATTCAACAGGTGGTGCATCCATAAAATCAAAATGTAACAAATCATTAATGCCCATTGTTTTCAATTGTAAAACGGTCGTTGCCAAATTCGTTCGTTGAATTTCTGGTACCGGTGTCGGAAGCATTTCATCACGATACGCACGTTCTGTATACAATCGATAACACTTACCGGGACCTGTACGACCGGCACGACCAGCGCGTTGCTTAGCAGCTGCTTGAGAAATGGGCGTTACCACCAACGAATCCATGCCAGTTTTTGAATTGTACACTTTTTGTTTTACAAAACCGGGATCGACCACATAATAAATACCATCGATTGTTAATGAAGTTTCGGCAATATTTGTGGCAATAACCACTTTACGACTGCCAGCCGGTGCTGGATCGAAAATTCGTGTTTGCATTTCCGATGGCAATGCTGAATACACTGGTAATATAATCAATTCGGGTACATCGGGTCCAAGTGATTTCATGCGTTCATACAATATTTCACAAGCCGTATCGATCTCTTCACGACCCGTCAAAAATAGTAAAATATCACCCGGTGGTTCTCTTAAATGAATTTGCATGCATGTTATGAGCGATGCATCCAAATAATCGGTTTCGGGCTCTTTTGTATACAACACTTCAACGGGAAACGTTCGACCGGGAATGGTAAAAATTGGCGCTTCCATAAAGTACTGTGAAAATTTAACGGCATCCAATGTGGCTGATGTAACAATTAATTTGAGGTCAGCACGTTTTAGTACGGCTTGTTTTAGCAAACCAAACAGAACATCCGTATGAATTGTACGCTCATGAGCTTCGTCCAACATAATCACGGAATATCCTTTTAAGTCCATGTCCATTAAACATTCACGCAATAACATACCGTCTGTCATGTATTTTATTACCGTTTCTTGGCTTGTACAATCTTCAAAACGAATTGTATAACCGACTTCTTGACCCAAACGACAACCAAACTCTTCGGCAACACGTTTTGCCACAGACATTGCGGCCACTCTTCTTGGTTGTGTGCATCCCACTTTACCACGAGCGGTGAATCCACATTCAGCCAAATATTGTGTCATTTGTGTCGTTTTGCCACTACCCGTTTCACCGATGACAATCAGAATTTGATTATCGGTAACAGCCTGCAAATAAATTGGAAAATACCGTTCATTATTAAATAATTCATAAAATTGTTTTTGTGACAAACCAACGACAAAAAATGCTTACCTTAATCAAATCATCACGTAGTTTGTAAATTGGAAGCGATTGTCTTTGCTCGATAAGCGTCAAATTGGTTTTCATACCGAATGACGATTTTTTGCCACCAATTACATGCTTTTTCCATTCGGGAACTTCTTGCGGTGCAATTCCGACTCCACGTACATTAGCTGCTAATTCTCGAGTATCATCTATGAATTAATATAAAAATATGAATCATATATGTCATTTATGTTATTTTCCCATAAGCACAAAACTTACCTTCGGGCAATGGATCGATCCAATTTTTGTTCAAACTCGTTGGTATGCTGTCCATTTCTTGTTCACGTTGTAACATTTGTAGTTCTCTTCGTTCCTTGGCCAAAGCCGATTGCATCATAGCTGCTTGAGCAAGCGAACCATCTGGATTTTTAACAATTCGAACTGGTGATAGATCATGCAATGCACGACCATGTCCACGCAAAAATGCCGGTTCTTCTTCGACAATTTCAATTTCAATATCAGCTTCATCGTCGTCCTCGTCTTTTGGCAATAGGCCAGTTTCTTCATCAAAATCAGGTAATTCAGTACGATCAATAACACCCGATGAAATCATTTGTTTTATTTCCCATCGTTCTGGGCTGGATATTCGGGTGACCTTCTTCCGTGTTACATCCTCTTCGGCATCCTTATTTCCTTCCAAATGTAGTAACGATGTGCCAGCCATTGGTCGATCTGGATTTCTATCTCGCATTTCATCATTCAAATGTAAATGTGAAGATGGATTTAGATCGGCACCCGTATCCTGATCAACTTCTTTCATTGACAACGATACTTTTTGTCCGGCCAATGACATTACTTTTACTTTAACATTTGATCCGCGTGACACAACTTCCGTAACATCGGTTACACGGCCTTCGGAACGCAATTGGGATATGTGCACTAAACCTTCCCAACGCTTTTTCAATCCCATTATTTGAACAAAACAACCAAATGGCACGATATTTGCCACACGGCCAGAGTAAATTTTTCCGGCTTCAGGATCATCGGGCATTGGTGTTGTACTTCGTTTACGTGATGATTGTGGTGGTGAACGATTCCGATGTCGATCATGACTTCTGCTTCGATTTCGATTTCTTTGCCGATCTCGGTGTTTGTCACGCGATGTTGAACGTCTACGGTCTCGTGATTTGGAATCACTCCGTTTACCTCGCGACCGACTTCTTCGTCTATCTTTACTGCGTGATCGCTTTCGACCTTTTGATCTGAAAATTATTTAGTTTTCGTTTTTAAATAACAATAGAAATGTTAATCACTAAACATGATGATGCATTGTAAATTCGATTATTTACCTCGATCGACCGGCTCTGTCTCTCGACCGACCGGTTCGTTCTCTTGACCGGCTTCTTCTCGATGATCTGTCTTTGTCTCTGTCACGTTCTCGAACTTTATCTCGTTCTTTTTCACGATTTTTCGAACGGTCTCGGCGTGATTTACGCTCTCTAGATCGTTCCCTTTTCTCGTCTTGCTTCAATTCAGTTTCGTTGCCACTTTTGGACGGTGCAAACGCTTCCAATTCAGCCAACATATCATCGGCAACAGTGTTCAATTTCTTATCTTTCTTTTCATCTTTTGCAGCTTCGTTCGGTGGAATCATATCATCTTGTAATTTATTTGGCATTGCCAAACCAGGAAATTTCATAGCTAATCGATCAACATTTGGTTTTGTTTTGAATTCATCGTCGTCATTATCGTCGATAAGTTTCTTTGATGTTTTCATCAATTGAATGATTCGCAATAAACTGGTGATAAATGAATCTGGAAATTCGGCACCATTTTCCAAAAGCGCTTTCTTAAATGCAACAAATGTTGTATGTGTTTCGGCTAGATCGATGATAAATTCGGCCAAATCCTTATCGTTCATGCCCAAATGGTTATCCAACTCGGTGCAAATCTTCGACACCAACGACAAATGCTCAAGCTTCGAAAGTTCTTCCATTTTGTTTATTTCGTTTATTTTAAATTTTCACAGAATGTTTTTGTTTTAAACGGCACTACACAACATTTTTCTCGTTTTATCGGTACGTTTATTTTGTCGGAATATTTACACTTTTAATCGTTTGAATTGTAGCGTTGTGACTGATGGTGCATCGTGTGTATTGAGGAAGATAGAGAGAGAGATAGCGTTTGACAGATAGTATTTGACAGCAAATGTATGCATTCAATGCCATCTACGCATTAATCACAATTTTATGGTGAAATCAATGTAAAATAATGCTCTCTTCCCACTGCTCAAAAATGTCAGCTGCTTATTTTAATAACAATAACTAAAAAAAATTACCAAATAAAAAAAATAAGAATAAATAAATGGTTTATATTTTACAAAATTAGTGTTTCCACCTTTATTGAATTTAGTTAAAATTGTCTTTGTGTTATACGGTCCGGACATTGAATGCGTCCACCGCGATTCGATTCGTTGATGGATTTTGACAGGAATCGTACCAGTGCTAGAGCGAGAAAGAGTACAATTGTGAAATACTCAAACAACACACAATCATTGTATTCAAGATTGGTCATTGGTTGTATCGAAACATTAACCATAGCAGTGTGATCGATCATTTGCGGTTCGTTGTTCTTTCGAATGTTGAATATTGTCGCAAATAAAATGTCCATTGTTTTAACAGCTGTTTGAGGTTGAAAAAGAGTAAGTGAGTGATGAAAATTTATCATTTGAATTGTCAATTGTTCAATTCAAGTCAGAAAAATATATCTACAAATATTGTGTTCAAAACGAACTTTGGAGCGGAAAGGAATGAACAACAAAACAAAAAGAGCGCATAGCGTAGTATTTTCGTTCAGAATTTCGGGGCGTGAAATTAGCATAATGCAAAAATAAAAGCAACAGAATGATCGTGAAAATTGAATTTAATTGAATCACAATGGAATTGCATTTTGAATAATTAAAAAAATGTAACGATCAATGTGGAAAGAAAATGTTTGTGAATTGTTTATGATCGAATTGAAGTACAAAAGAAAGAAATAATCGTGATAGAAGACAAACAAGACACATTCATACACACACACACACACACACACACAGTGAGTGAATGAGATAGAAACGAAACAAACAAAAGCTTTTTAAAATAATGTGCATTCGCGTGTTGCATGCACTCAGTTCGCGTAATGCAAAAGTAAACAACGTGTTTAAGTAGTATGAAAAGCAAAACAAATCTTAACGTTCGAAGAAGTGAATTGTCATCCATATAAACTTTCATGAGTTCTTTGAAAATTAATTATTGATTTGAAATTATGTGATTAATTGCTCAAAATAAACAATAAACTATTGGAAAAACATAATTAATCTCATTTACTTATTGCCCGATTCATCTAAAATATATTCTTCTTGAATTGATAGAGAAAAAAACATATTATTTATACTATTTTTTCAAAATTACCTAATTTTTTATTTAATTCATTGAGAAATTTGAACAAAACATTTCATTACAATTGGATATCAATTTATTATTCTTACCAAAGTATAATTATTGTACATTGAGTTTAATTAGTATCTTTTTCAAATTGTATCATATGCTCTAGCATCAGAATGCCTTTTGTTCCACTCGGGTAATCCAAACAGATTCAACAGATACATTCATATTATTGTTCTTTTTTTCAATTGTATAAATCTAAAGAACTGTTAAAATGTGCAAGCGATGAGCTCGAATCTTAAAATTAAAAATTTTTCACGCAATTCTTCATCTTGTCTCTATTTTTCCTTCAAAATCTCAACACTATTCGTTTGCATTTTTTCGTGATGTCAATTGTTTTATTTGGTCATAATGGTGCCATCCATGAAGAGAATACAATAAAATCTTCAATAAAACAATATAGTATTTCATTTGAATGGATTTTTATCAAATCCTCTATTTGACTCTACATTTGGCTGCCCTTAGTTACCCCACTGATCATAACTATAGTTTACTGAAATGGTCAACCACTTTGGGAACATATTTAAATTAATGTATTTGAATCTTTCTATAGAATGTGAAGGATTAAATTTCATATACACCATTTTTGTTATTTTACATTCAATATTAATGTTTAATTTTATGTTATTGGCACGGTTCTTAATGATTTCCAATACTTCGTGATAATCTTTTGCCGCAAAATAAAAGATATAGTTATCTGAGCAATATATTGTTAATTCTGACAATTGCTTACCGTATTGCAACATTTCTTTCAGCACGGCCATTGTAATTTGATTTGTAGGCTCCAAATTTTCATAGTCGATTGATTGGATGGTTAAATTTTTGAGGGCATGGAAATTTTTTGTTAATTCAATTAAAAGGTTTTGATCAAAGATACCAGGAGTATAAAGCCAAAGTTGTGTTATATTTTTCATTGGAAATATATACAAATTCCTTATTGAATTATCATTTATGTTAAGAAATAAATTGAGATCTAGATATTTGAGATGCCTTAAGTGTATATTATCTATTTCAGTAAACACATATACGCCGACATGCAAAATTAACGACTGAATGTTTGACAATTTATTAGAAATTATTTCACATAACTTTGGCGAATAATTAATATTTAATCTTTCTATTTGGGGATTATGTGTTAAAAATTCATCACAAGATATATCATCAACAGTCTTTTCAAAATTAATCAACTTTGAAAATGTGATCGCAGGTAAAGTGTATTGAATACGATTAAAGCCATTTATATTCAAAGTCTCCAACTGAGTACAATGAACCAAACAATCATTAAATGGACCAAAAACTGATTCGGGTGTTAAATTGATTTGTAAGCATTTTAATTGCGAAAGAAGCAGACAAATGTCAAGGAGAGTCCTTTTTGTGATATTCACTGCGGACACATGGAGTTCCATAAGATTTGGGCAGTGCTTATAGATTAATTTTAATAAAATTTCTGATATGTCCGGTATATCTTCAAACAAAAATGAACCACAAAGCGTGCTTGCACAAAAAATCGAGCTACCAAAATTAGTTAAAAATCGATCAATTTCAGACAATGTAACATCACTTCTATCATGCATTAAATCTGTAAATGATACAGTTGTTTGCCTTAATTTGGATGAAAATGCTTCTTTTGAGATTCGATTAAATTTAATGCAAACATTTGCAATGGAATGAAAATCACTCATTTGATCAAATTTTTTGAATATTTGGTGCAAGCAGTCATCATTCAGGACAGTGAAAATATTATTTTGCGTATTTTGTGTCAATTTTCCAAACTTTTTTACCTCAACCAATGATAATTTTCCGATACGTTCAATTATTTTAACATTTCTGTGCTGATCATCTCTAAATTCGTTCATTGGTTTTATCTCATATTCCATATCATAAAGTGAGATTTTACCTTGTTCAACTAAATAATTAGCAACTTTGCAATCTTTATATTGAATAAGACCACAAACAAGGACATTGTTTTCACATCGAATGTTTGTTGATTCAATTTCTCCGTATTTTTGAAAGAAGCTGCTCATATTTTCTGGACTAACCTGAAAAAAAATAACAATATATTAACTACGCACGCAAACGGCTAACTAAGATTCATTTTGATGTATTTATCTTACATAATATCGCTGTCTGGGAGACGGTATATTAATTGGGGTTATCCCAATCGTTCTCTCTGGAATTTCACCACTAAAAATTTGGTTCCAATTATGTTTCAATTTCTCTATCTGGTCTCTATAGAAATTTTCATATTCATCAGCGTCCATCTTCTTTAAATAAAAGTTTATAATTATAATTACACACAAAAAACAAATGGATAGATAATTTACTAATTAATTTTTATTTGAAAATCTATCCAAATATTTAGATATCTATAAAAAAAAAATTTTTGCAAAAAAAAACTTTTAAATTCCTATACCTATAATAATAATTGCGTTTGTAAACTTTTTTTTTTTTCAAAAGAGTGAACGCAAATCGCTTGTGTTGAACAAAGATCAGAGTATCGATAAATCGATATACATTTCACTCGCTCTGTTTCCCTATATTCCATACCGAACCTAATTCACACACACTCTCTCTTTCCTTTTTTGCTCTCTCTATTACCAAACGATAGTCGGTTGAATGTGTAAGTGTCACTCAAACATTGCGTTGACGTTTGGTAGTAGAAAGAGCGAAAAAAGAAAGAGAGAGTGTGTATGAATGAGGTTTGGTATGGCAAGCAGATCCGTTGAAGTTTTAGAGAAAGAGAAGAGAGAGAGAGAGAGTATGTGTATGTGTATGTGTATGTGTGTACATGTACACTAATACTAAGAAAAGGGTCTGAAACATACAAATCTATACTACTGTGTGTGTGTGTGTGTGTGCACTAATACTAAGAAACGTGGATGAAATCGGCATTTTCATACTACTAAAGTGAATTATAAACAAATGTGCATTCATTTATGAGAATATTTTGTCCGGATATTGTGTAAATCTATATTGGTGTATTTTTATGACAGAAAAATCATTATCAACATATTTAATAATATTTTAATACATATTTTATGTGCCATAGAAACGATATAACTATATATGTGTGTGCGTAATTGGATCGAGAAAAGGAGAGAGAAAGAGATCATAACAAAGAATATTTATCGGCAAAAAAATCCATGAAAAGCACTTCCAAGACTGTCTAGTAGACTAGAGTAGCACTTCCAAGACAGTGTCTACATTTTCAAATAGAAAATTGTGAGCATAAGAGACAGATAAAGAGAAAAAGAACGTGCGCACGCGAAACAGAAAGAATACACACACACACACACTCACACTAAGTGGATACATTGAAACATTTAGTGTTGTTGTTGCTTTTTTTTCTATCGTTTTCTCACAGTATTTTATCCCAGGTTGTGTGTATATATAATAAATTTTTTGTTGTTCTTACAACGGTTCCGTGTAATATAAATGCGATTGTACGGGTAGATATCATTCTCTCGCTCGCATCGCCCAGATTTCGTGACGACACTATCGCATCTATGAAAATTGTCACAATTCAAACAAACAATTTTATATCTCGTGAGAATAGCAAAAAGGACGAGACCACAGCTGTCGAACGCTATAAAGTGCAAAAAGAACAACAACCGAAAAAAATCAACAAAATTATCTTTTTTTGAGCTATTGTTGCACAATATACACATACTGTGCGCACTGTGTTGGAGAAGAGAAAAAAAAAAACAACGAAGAAACCAAATTTGTTGAGCATTTTTTTTTGCTTTCCTGTGCTTCGACACACTGTGAGCGCGCGAGTGCATAATTGTTTGTATATGCGTACACAGCAAAATAAGGTGATACATGTATGGACATATTACATTTTGATGTGGTCTAGTGGAATTATTATCAGTGTGTTTGTTTATTCTGGCCATACAGTGAGTTTACATTGAAAATCCAGCAGAAAATTCATTCAATCGAAGAAAATCGACTTATATACCTCACATTCCCTCAATCTAATTGAATTACAAACCAACCGAAAATCAGTCAAGTTGCAACAGCGACAAATATAGCCGATTTACAAAAAACACATACCACTAACCAACTGCCAGGAGAGATAGAGAGAGATAGAGAGAAATTCTGAAGCCAAAGCAAAAGGGGAAACAGTTTCAATTTCTTCTTTCTGGATGTTTTCCGTCATTGACATTACACATCTAATGTACTAGTTAAATTTAGAACTCATTAAGTGATTGTGTATTGAGCTTAAGAACCTGAAACAAAGAACATTATTTATTTGACGCACCCACTACCACACAAAATATCTATAACAATCTAATGAGAATTATTAAAAAAAAAAAAAGTGAATTTGTGTTATCCATTTGAATTGCACGCGATTCATTCATATATGAGTGTAAAATTCAATTAATTTGTGCTAATTAATGTTATCCATCCAGTCGAACGCCGAAGGATATCAACATAAAATCAATGAAACATTATTTTGAACGTTGACAACATTTTCAATTGAACAAAAAGCAAATCAACAACAAAGTAGGACAGGTTTTTAGTTATCAAAGTAATTCATTGTTTGTTTTCCAAGCAACATCGAGTGCATTTGACGAAGTTGCATTGAACGACACAAATCTATCACACATACACATAATGGCTGATTTAAGACGTAGAAAACCAGATGATGACAGTGGAAAGCAGGTTGATGACGATAATTTCAATGCCACGAATACGGAACGATGCATTGGCGATGGTGCCAATGGCAGTGATGATGAACAACCATCGTTACTGCAACACAAAAAACCAAACAGCGGTTTAACAACAGCTGATTCATCCGATCATGTAAATATAAACAAAAATCCTGTTTTTTTTTCTATTTCTATAATACTTTTTCATATTGTCATTCGCTACATCTGAGATTCCAAATGGGACTGTCTATTTTTATGTACGTGTTTTAACTGTTCGCATGATGCATTGATATTGTCTCGCTCAAATAGATATAGACTAATTATCGCTGATGATCGATTTTTTTTTCTCTCTTTATCATTGTGTATACAACTGTTGGTTAAAGAACAATAGTAATTTCGATACTACTGCTATATCATTCTCTCATCCGATCCATGCGTGATTCTCTGGCGATTTCGTATAATGATCATTTATCACCACATGCACGATTAAAAAGAAAACATTGTTTATTTACTGCAATGGCGGTCAATCGGATTTTTATATATATTTCATTTACTCCTATTCACTCTCCATTTTATGTTTTCATTTAATGAATAACAGCACGTAGCGTGAATGATTATTGACAATTATGTTTGGCATTCATTTGATTTTCAATGTTTCAAAGACTTCGGTGTTTGTTTCTCATCGTGTGAAACTTGTGCTCAAACACCATTCCAAATAAGCGAAAAAATTCGGAGCCAAGGAAATTTCCACAAAATTTGAAATAAACATCATTTCATTACTAAGTAAATGTGCAGTGGGCGGTTTAAATTGATTGTTGCATTGAGTATTTGAGTGCAATTTAACACATGAAACTAACATCTGAAACAAAAACAAAAAATTGACCGGAGACTGCATTAATTTAGTTGTGCGGTACTTGTGCACTCCGTCAGAATGGACGCTTTGGCATTTTTGTCTATTTATTTGTTTGTTTATCGAGCAAATTGATTAACTAGGCTTTGATTGAATTGGATTAGAGAGTTCATTTAGCCCAGTTCAAGGGTCAATAATTGTGTTGCATGCGCATCGAACAAAGCCTTTCATTCAGTTTTGGATGTTTTTTTTTCTCTCTTTCTTTGTGACAACAAAGGAGGGAAATCAATTAGTTGCTAAAAATATTAACCTTTGATTTCACATTCATTTTTGAAAACTTGTTGTATTACAATCAATTTGAGGTAGATATATTCTTGAGAAACAACTACAAGTATTCATGCACAAAAACCTACAGAAAATGGCAAAACAAAAAAAAGTTCATAACAACATTTTTTTTTGACCCACAAAATATTTTTAACCGCAGCATGTTACTTTGTGTATATTTTATAACATTTCACTTCGCCGTTTTTCCCTTTTCAATCGAGCATTTGCAACAAGAAGCGAACCAAAAAAAGAAGGTAAATGTGAATCCAAAAAGAAGCATTGCGTCACATTTTGAATGCAACAATCGTTGACCGCGTTTCGGTCTGGCACAACGTGCGGAATTCATAGTCATGTATGTGATTCATGCATCTTACGATTTTTTTATGATGCCAACAACTTGATAGTATACATATTGTCCGATACGCACACAATGATGTGTGATTGATATTTTAAAAGTTGCACAAATTCCATTCTTTTTTCTTTCAAAAATAGACTCTCGTGAAACTTCACGAAATCGAAATTGTAATATTTCGGAATTTATGTGAGTTTGATTGAATATGAGCTATAAAAAACAGTTGCAATTTCAATCACCGATGATTATAGTTAACCAATATTGAAATGCACAATGTCAAATTCAATTTGTAAGGTTTCATTGTCGCAAAAAGGTGCATTTGATGACAGTGGAAAAATGTGTAAATATCATATACCGTACAATCGAATAGTCTATATCTATATCTGGTGTCTAATATGCGGGGCGGATAGAGAAAACAAAATTGGCAAACAATTCCTAATTCTCACTTGGAAATTCTATATTTACTTCAGACCGATCTGCGTCACAACATACACCACAAAAATACTATATTTGTTTTCTTTGTCGACTCATGGTGAGAGAGAGAAAAAACAAACAGTATGCATAGATAATTACTGCAGTAGTGTTCATCGATTGACGCCAAATCTTATTTCAAATACTTTATTCATCGCGAGCTGGAATTAATTTGGTGTAAATGACTCAATAATACAACGGCAGTTAGAATGTTTCCATTTAATAGGATCAACGTTTGAAAAGTCATTTTCTATCGCAAAATAATTCTATCGTCAATGTAAACAACACGTTTGCCAATCATTTTTTATGAGCATAATTTATGGCTGGTGGTTGCTGTGCGTCTAATTGAATTGCGAATTGTAACGAAGAGAATTTTAGTTTCCGTATTGAAGATATCATATTCATTCGATTTAATTAGAAATTTCTTTGATGCTATTTATAGCCCACAAACCGAAAATAGATTTTTAAGCAATGACGATTGATTTTTGGTTTTAATTTTTTATCTCTCGTAATATTTTCAGGTTGACTCTGAAGAAGAGCGATTACCGGATGAAAAATATGTGGAAAAATTGGCGAAAAAATTGCCACAAGGAACGGATAAAACGCCAGAAGTGCTGGAAGAAGCATTGAAAGGCTTGCCAGATAAGTAAGAAATGCATACAGATAATCAATTTACAAAATATATATATATGAAGTTAACAATTCTCATAATCTCCTCCCCCCCTCTCTCTCTCTTTCTCTCGGCAGATGGAAAAATTACATAATCCGAGGCATATTCACGTTTATTATGATAATGGGATTCTGTCTCATCATCTATGGAGGTCCATTGGCACTCATGATAACGGTAATGATAATAAAAAAAATTCCCAACCAAAGCCACACGTCTCCCACACAAAATCGTGTCACTTTCACGCATCGGCTCTGTTTTTTTCTCTCTTCCTTTTGAATCGATTTTTTGCAGACGCTTTTGGTGCAAGTAAAATGTTTTGAAGAGATCATTTCGATTGGATATCAAGTGTATCGCATTCATGGATTGCCATGGTTCCGCAGTTTGTCATGGTATTTCTTGTTGACGTCCAATTACTTTTTCTATGGTGAAAATTTAGTCGACTACTATGGTGTGGTGATAAATCGTGTTGAGTATCTTCGCTTCCTGGTTACCTACCATCGATTCTTGTCGTTTACATTGTATTGCATTGGTTTTGTATGGTTTGTGTTATCGCTAGTCAAAAAATACTATATGAAACAGTTCAGTTTGTTTGCTTGGACACATGTCGCACTGCTGATTGTCGTGACACAAAGCTATTTAATCATTCAAAACATATTTGAAGGTAATTGGTGTCCATTTTCTTTCGATTTACAATTCGTGCAACAATTTCTATAATTTATTCATTTATTTTTTGCAATATTTCATTTTAGGTTTGATTTGGTTCATTGTACCGGTATCGATGATTGTATGCAACGATGTGATGGCGTATTTGTTTGGATTTTTCTTCGGTCGTACGCCATTGATTAAGCTCAGCCCAAAGAAAACATGGGAAGGATTCATTGGTGGTGGTTTTGCAACTGTCATATTTGGCGTTGTTTTCTCCTATCTGTTGTGTCAGTATCAATTTTTTATTTGTCCCATCGAATATAACGAAGCGGCTGGCCGCATGGGCATGGAATGCGAACCAAGCTATCTATTCAGACCACAAGAGTACACACTTTCACTTGTTAAAATCAACAAAACAATCACCATGTATCCATTCCTATTGCATTCATTGTCAATGAGCGTATTCAGCTCAGTGATCGGGCCATTTGGTGGTTTCTTTGCTTCCGGGTTCAAACGAGCTTTCAAAATCAAAGTAATTTAACATGATAGTCTTTCATTTTGATCAATGCACAAAATTTTATACACATTTATGTCATTTCGTTTGTACAGGATTTTGGCGATATGATCCCAGGCCATGGAGGAATTATGGATCGATTCGATTGCCAATTTTTAATGGCAACCTTTGTCAATGTCTATATTTCCAGCTTCATACGCACCGCATCACCAGCCAAACTTCTTCAACAGGTAGTTAGTTAACCGATTATTACTACTAAACATTATAGGTCACATGTTTCGAATGATACAGATACTTTCAAACTAACGACACTTTTTTTTCTTTACATTTAGATCTACAATTTGAAGCCCGAACAACAACTTCAACTCTATAATTCACTTCGTGATTCTCTTCATAATCGAAGCATCTTAGATTAAATTAATTTATAACACTCTATGTACCTAAGCTCCAACAGAAAAAGTCTAACAACTGATGATTCATGGTCGACGTGCAAGTTGACGGTGTCCCCTAGCAAAATCTGTGTATTGAATTTATTCGTACCTTATATGGTGTTTATTTTTTAATGAAATGGACAAAATGTGGTAGAAAAAATCGAAAAAAAAAACTTGTGTAGGGAAGCAAAGAAAAATTCAATATTGGATAGATATATTATTTATAAATATGCCTCTATTCACAAGTTATATATGGTCATTACATAAATGTTATGAGTAAATTATATATTGATGTGTAGACTGTGTAAAAAAACACACAACATCCTCAATCCGCATAGAACATTATTGTGAACAAGAACATATTTTGAGACAGAGAAAAAAAACAACAAAAAAAAAACCAAGCATCAACAAGCATCAAACTTGACGAGATTTACTATTATCTCGATTGAGAAAATAAGATGGGTTCAGAGTCAATCTGAATCGAGTGGATAAGAATATTTTTAATTAAAACAATCCATACATAAATACACACACATTTCTAGTCATTTGCAAACCGAACTAATGTTATATCTCTAATATTTATTAAATGAATGGAAAATATAGAGAAAACATATTTATATGTAACAACACAAAAAGATATGTATCTAAAATAAATTTAATCAAACTCAAAACACAGCAAAAAAAAAACAATGGATCAGATATCATGTATATGATATTATAATAAAAAAGAGTATAAAGTGGAAATCTTTGCTCTAAACGAATTCAAAATAAATATGTTATGAATGTTATGTTAGGTGAAAAACCCTGAGCAAATAGTTGTAGAAAATGTTGATAGCAACGCCGATGATTATCAAAAAAAAAATGTTGGCCCAAGAAGAACACACACAAATGGGAACTGAATTAAAATGTTGGCTCACTTGAGAAATACTCTTGAAAAAATGCATATAAATATTTGTCATATCTTAAAACGCCAATATTTAAAACAAAAACTTAGCATATTTCATTAGTTCTTGCATTTAAAACGTTTTTATTGGTTCAGAAGAATCTTGCTAGACCAAATCGATCAAAAGAAACGTAATCCAGCCAAAATCATTGAAAATTGATGTCAACATTTAGGGACCTTTTTATACGAACTTTTTTTCTATATATTTTTTTATCAATCTTCTGTAATTAAAAAAAAACACACACACACACTCACTTTTTCGACTGAGAACGATGCCAAAACTGCAATGAGAAATTGTTTGGCGTCTAAAATAACACGCAAAATCACTCGAAAAAAATACCACTGAAAAAAAAAATCAACCAGCAAATAATTTTAATTTGTTTTTGTTCTTTTTTTAAATCGGACAAATAAGCATAGGTGTTGACAAGGGTTCCTGGGGTCCGGATCATTCTCCCCCTGAATATTTTTGGGGGAACCCTCAATATTTTCATTGGGATTTTCTAGGGTTTTTTCATCTTTCGCGGACTCATATGCATTTCTCCCTACGAAAACATTTTTCCGTCAACACCTATGACAAATTGGACTCGACAAGTCACCGCAAATATTCTCATCTATTTCACTTGTATTAGTTAATTTTTAGTTTATAACATTTAATATACGTATGTATGCAATGCCAACATATTCGTGAGTGAGAAATACGTATGCATAACACAAAAAGGTTACCGCTAGCAAAACATCAAAGTTATAAATATATTCAGTTTAAGATAGGAAACTTGTTTTTGTTTTGTATTTTTTTTTTTAATTATGAATTTTTGTTGGAGAACAATTTGATAAAAGAAAAAAATGGATCGAATAACAAGTGAGAAAAGACGAAGGGGTGAATGTGAGAAAAATCCAAACTAATTAAGAATAGCAAGACCCCTGGATAGTTTATAAAATTGTGTGTCCAACTAATTGATCAAGACCGTGCTAGATCGATTGATTCGATTCTTACTAATGATTTTATGTGGTTTTGATGGAATCGGTGGACCACTTGATTTGTTCATTCCATAGTGAGATCTTTACTGATCGTACAGCCAAAAACATGGGTTTTAGGTATATTTTTTTTATTTTAATTTGTTTTTTTTTTTCTCGGTTAGGTTCAGTTAATTTATAGGAACTAAGAAAGCAAAATATTTAAATATATTTTGGGCAATTCATTTTTTTTTTTTTGTTGAATCGGAGTCATTTTTTATTTTGTTTTAAATTAAATTATCGAACACGCAGCGTGGGTCAGTTTATTTATTTAACTGTGTTAGACATATTACCCTCATAACATTTTGAATTGTTCGAGTCAGACGAATTTCGATTTTTCTTTCATCTTCAAGTATCAGTACAAATGATTATGTAATCATCAACACTATAATATGTAATAGATATTCGGTTCATTTTCACTTGATTGTGTGTGTGAGAGTGACCAATTCAAGCAAACTTTTATTTAAGTCAAAACTCGGAACAAATTATTACATGCAACATTTAAAACAATTTGGAATGATTAATTATTTTACATTTATTATTATTAATATTATATGTTATGCATTGTTGAATTTAAATGAAATAAAACAATATTCTGAACATTAAATGCAAACATTGAAATAATGTCCCATTCATGACTAATTAAACAACAAATGAATAATAAAAAGTGTATTAGACATTACGAATGATTCAATAAAGAAAAATTAAATGAAGTTTCAATAAAAGCATTCTTTATTTTTGCGTAAATCGAATTTTGTGTTTTTAATTTTATTGTTTGTAGGGAAGATTGTAGCAGTTTTGTCATTTTCAATTTAATCAATTTTTACTTTGTTCATTGCATAATTTATACATTTGCGCGCAAAATGTTTATTTTTTTGTGCACTTCATCACAACCATACATTAGATCAACCTTCAATCGGGGAGTCTATAAAAATGCCTATTTAAAATACTTCTGTGCTGCCCATTCGTCGATGATCGTATACGGGTACAAATTTTTTCCCCTCACGTCCAATGGCAGTTACTGATGAAAATATTTCGTCCGAAGGTGCTCGAACCATTTCATGACCGATTTCACGTAATCCATCAATAATATTGTCTGGAAACCCTTGTTCATATTCCAATTGCATTGGTACAAGTTGGTGATGGAGTCGTGGTGCATGTACTGCGGTCACGATAGATTCTTTGAAATATAAATACCGTAAAAGCACCTAAAATTATTTACAAAAATAAATTAGCTTTCATTCAAAAATGCAAAAACCAGTAACAGAATCGTACGTATGCAACTGAAGATGTTATCTTAAAACCGCCAGCAGCACCAATGGCCATTTCAACATTTCGATTTTCATCCAGAACAATTGTTGGACACATGGAAGACAGTGGCATCTTTTGTGGTCGAATAAAATTGGCTGGTGACGGCAAGAGGCCATATCTATTTTCTAGACCAGGCCCTCCAAATTCGCTCATTCCATTATTTAGAATGATTCCCGTTCGAGAAATAATGTTACATCCAAATCTGAAATTCCGTTCAAGAGATAATCGAATAATCATTGAAAGACTAACTTTCAATAACAAAATAGAAATATTCATTCGACTGCAGGATATCCCCCCTTCATTTACTGACCAGATCCATGTCTGATTGTAAAGCTATTTTATTGAGTCAATGAACGAAAGATACCAAAACAATTTCTCTATGTGTTTTCTTATCAAAAAATTACTATTATCGAATTTTTAATATAGATAATTATTTATTAACCAAAGCCAAATATTCAGCGCATTATCTCAAAGGTGCTTATTTACAACACTCACACATCCAGTCACAAATCACTCAAATATGCTCTAATAACGTTCTGACATTGACCGGCTAAAGCGTTGAATTATTCAGATGTGTTCTTTGTGTTACTAACAATATATAACATAATGCTAGAACAACGTTGAACTGTAGACTGTTTTAGTAGTATTTGTGATGAGCTTTCAATGAAATGTTAACCAAATTTAATCAATTAAATTTTTTTGTATCAAATTTGCGCTAATACCATTTAACAACTGGTTGTCCTTTGTCTTTCATTAGGTATCAATGTCTGCGCCAAATTTGAATCAGCTGAAAACATATTTTAACTCATACAAGTATTCAAGCGATTAATACAATTATATGTAGAATAAGAAGATGAAATGCATTTCATAATTCTTCGTTTGGCCGAAAAGATACATCTCATACTCACTTTTATGCTGAGTCTGACCGCGATTTATATAGTTAGTTGTATTCATTTGCTATCTTGTTCCACAACACTTCAAATGTCTTTGGCGCTTTTCGTATAAACAAATATGTTTGAAGCTAAGTAAAATTTTAAACCTTTATGTCATTTTATGTAAAATATACTCAAAAAATACAGAATTAAATAAGTGAGCAAATCGATACAAGCAACTAATTTCACTCAAATTTGGCATTGTGTTCGTTATTATAAATTTGGCATAGTGTGTCTACAGTCCATAAAGAAAATTCGATTGATTTTTTTAACAAACTCTATTTATTAGACTTAAATCTGCATTTTCAACGTAAGATAAATGCAACGATTCTTTTCGTTTTCGTCTAGTCCAACGGAACATTCAATTTGTACTACCGTTTGTATTCTATTTTTTAATGTAACGCAAATATTTCTTAGCGCTAAAGTTGTCATCCAAATCATCTTCCACTTTGAGAACAACACTCGGCTTACGACGTTCCAGTCGAAGTTTTCGTTCTTCCTCCGTTAAAAGGGTCAAATCAAGTGGTAACTGTATGAAAAGACAATTATTATCAGCAATTGGTATTGACATAATTTCGATTGAACTGTTTGATGAAACTTACATGAATTATTTTCCGTGGTTCATGATACCGAATGGTAAGTGTTGAACCGTCTGGATTTACCAGCGTTGTTGGATAATGCCGGCAATAGAAAATCCGATGGGTTTTTGTTATACTAGCTGTTGCCGATGACACATTTCTTATGTGCTGATATTTACATGGTAAATTTGTTAGAATTGATAGCTTCGAAAACTGCATTCTATGCCACACACACGAATAATTTGTTGAACAAATAATTTGATTCGTCGAGAATTAAGATGTTCTTGTTTTGAATCTATCACAACCGAGGCCTATGAAACTTATGACAGAAAAGCATGCGTTACTGACAGTTTCGGTACAAAGAAGGAATTGCCATATTATATAATCGGTAGTGTTGCCGCTGTCAATCAATAATGTTGTTGTATTTGACTTGAATGGATTTTATTTTGAAGTGAATTCGAACTCTCATTCAAAATTTTAAAGAAATGACACATTTTTTATATACATTCTTTTTATCTTAGAATTTATTCATTTTTTTCTCTAGTTTTTTTTTCTTTTTTTTCGCTCCCTACTCTTCAGTCATTTAAATTATGTTATTCATTCAGGTTTTTTATGCGACGATACATATTCCATTAAATCATTGAGTCCATCGAATTCTGTACGGCCCGATTGAGAATCTTTACTAATTTTTGGCAATATTCCGCCCATTTTATGTCGAAATTCATCCATCTAAAAAAAAAAGAAGTCGTGAATTATTGTTGAAATCAAATTAAAACCGTAGAACATATAAATGTTTGAGTGTGAAATGAGCGCACACAATTGAAAATGTCGTGCAAGTTGTTAAAATTACATTTTTAGCACCCGATAATTTCCAAACTCCATAGAAAAATGTTCCTGTGCCAAGTACAGCATAAAACGTACCCCAGGCAAGAGCTTTTGTCGCCAATTTTGTACCGGCTTCGATTAGATTTACCGTTTCAACTGTGGCTTGTTCATACAGTTTTTGATCCTGTTTTCGAGCATTTGTTAATGTCCGACCAAAACCAGCAAAAGCTGCCATTCCAGATACGGTTGCCAAAAATGCCGCAGCTGATAAATACAAATGAATACACTTCAATATTGGATAAAAGTAAAATTGTGCCGGAATTTTGAATGTATCACTCACCTCTCATACGATATTTTCGTTTCTCCTCATCGCTGGGACGGGTTTTTGTTTCTATTTCTCTAACTGCTTCCATTATTGTCTTAATTCAATTTTGAACATTCTATTTACATCTTCTCGATTCCATTGTTTTGTTCTTCTTTTTTTGGTTTCATTCGATTATTTTACACATGGTGAATTTATGTAAGTAATTTGACAAGAATTGTCACATTGATTCAACACTACGATTCATATAAAATTGTGTACAAAAAAAAGTCAGCATTTTAGTGGTTTGCTTCAATTCTATTCGTTATTGATCGATATCAATAGATGGCGTTAAAGAGTCTTAAAATAAAGGTGATGATTTTCGTGATATTTGAAAAAAGACAATTATTTTCACAAACTCTTTACCAAGTACGAAGTTTTTATTTGAAAAATGTCTAATTTTAACAATATTATAGATAATCATAAAGAACAACACGGTTGCTCTTGTTGTACGTATAGTATGTTGTAGCCGAATGCATTTCGATGAGATTTATTTTTAATTTCCAACACCCTTATTTTCGACATCATCCCTTTTAATTTCGGTGGTATTTGCATCTTTAGAGTTATCGTATTCAGAAATTTTTCGTTGAATAATTCCCTTCGAATTATCCGAAAAATGTAACTCAATCTCTTTTAATGATCGATTCTCCGTTTCGGGCAGAATGTTGTACGTCAGTATTAGGCCAACACATTCAATGAATTAACACGGACAGAGAAAACAGTTTTTCAATCAAAATCACAGAGTTCCCTTTATAGTCAATTGGATTCTATTCTATCCGATCATCGGAAACAATAATTGGAATATTTTCTTCGTGTTGTCCACTTTATACCTTAATTATCCATTTCAATAGGAGATTGGTAATTGCTTAGTTTGTGTACCTTGGTATCCCTGACCTAAAATTTTTTTTTGTATAATTCGCAACGTTTTGATCGAAATCAGATCCTCAAAGATCAACGCTATGCTTCTGTCATATCTTGAAAATTCCATTACAAAAAATAGGAATCGCGTTTATTTAAAGTGAATTTGAAGCTAAAAATCATCAAACGTAGCAACATTTTGATCATGTGTGACAATTTTGCTGAAATTTTTATATATTTTGACAGTCATTATGGTGGGTCATTTTAAGGGTAAATTGGGGCGCTGAATCCGATTCAAGCCTTAAAAATAAGTTACCGCCGATGAAAAATCAAAATTTCATTAAATTTTTGCAAAAAATTGATTAAAAATTGCGATTTTTTGGTTAATAATAATTTTTTGAGCAATTTCAATGCCAGATACACTTTTTTTCGTTTGAAAGTAAAAAAAAACGAGCAAAATAAGGTATTTTTGATATGGTCGGGGTTTTTTCAACCTTTAAACAATGTAATGATGCCAGTTACCTAGTTTTGGACCAAAATTAACAAAACCGGTCGGGAAACAACAATCCGTTCAGATACTGAGATTTGGGCCACCCTAATGTATATATATTTTAAATTAAAAAATGTGTCTCATGTTAATAGATGTTAAATCTGAGTGCTTGGGCTCTTTCTTTGGCAACGATGATGATGGTAATTTTAACGCACTACCCATTCCTGCAGCCAGATGCAAAATTGTCTTCTTTCAGTTATGGCTTACACTGTGGTCAAATGCTTTATGTTCTATCATTTTTGCCTGCACACATAATTATGGTGGTCCTATTAACTGGTTTTTGTCACACCCTTGGTGGCAACCGCTTTCAAGACTTTCATATGCAATGTATTTACTACAGTTTCCAGTAATGGATGTCATAATGGCCAATATACCACCTTCACCATATTTCAGCGAATTAACCATAGTAAGTTTGCCGTTTCGAATCTCGAATTTATTGTTACAGATATATTTTTTCTATTCACAGCTAAAGATTTTCGTCGAAAATTATGTGGTAATGGCGCTTGTCAGTTGAAATGCCGGTATCAAACATTTTGGAACTAGTGAAAAAGTGGGATGTGGCACATCAAAAATTTGTTGAAAATGATAAGAAAACGATATAAGGTACCTTTATTAAATATTTTTTTTACAAAATGGGAATTTCATTCCAATTGGATTTATCAAACATCTATATGTAGAATATGATTTCTTGCAGAAAAATTGAGCAACATACGTTTTCGTTCGGTAAACGATGTCAACGATTCACAATTTGTTTCAACTTTGCATCCTTTATGAATAAAATAACAGAGAGCCAAAAATAAATTTGTTTTATTTAAACTGTTGTTTTTATGCCTAAGACACTCTCATCACAGCATATGGTGAGTTTCTCAAAGATATTATATAATATTAGCAATAAAACGTCCGTTAATAAGAAGAGTGCTTTTCTCAAGTTTTATAGAAAACGAACAATAAACAATAACAATAGCCGATAACATCCGAAATTTACAATAACATTCATTACAAAACCTAAGTATCCAATTGAGAAAGATTTTATGAATCAATAATCCAAGCAAAAATCTTTCCACTCAAATGAAATACTTGATTCATTTTCAAATATTTCAATTCCATTGAGTTTTACTATCGAATATTGTACTAAACTCACTTCAAGCACACTCATTGGAATATGTGGTGCGGTGGTTTTTGTCCACTTTACTCGTTACCATCTATTCCAATAGGTGGTGTTTCGAACAGAGAGTGTACATTTTCTCTGAATATGTAATAGTTACATGAAATTGTTTGCGGATAACTTTTTGATGGCAAATCTGCAATTTTTCATTGAAAATAAAACATTTTGATACTTTTCAGTTTTGTTGATACAAAGATTTAACTTTAAAAATGTGCTGAAATTTATTCTCCATGGAGGGCGTTTTGATTTAAGATTTTGCAAAAGCCTTGAGATATATACGTATATAAATGGAGGGATAATTGCTTAGTTTCTGTACCTTTGTACCTCTGACCAGAATCTATGCCGAAATATAGCTCAAGTTCAAAATTCAAACTCCAACGTTCGTTGGTTTTTTTTATAATCAAATTGTTTGAAATATAGAAATTTTCGAAAATTTGACCCAGAATCAAGACTGTGTTTTAGTGAGCATTGATTATGACGATAAAATCACGGAATGAAATCGGATACTAAAAATTTTATCCGTGTGAAATGAACTGAATTTAATTAGATATTGTGCGATCTGCTTTCAATTAAACAAAGTAAATTTAGGTTCGTCTGAAACTAGATTGCGAATGACATTAACTCTCGATAGTGCATTAATGTGTTTTAAAGTTCATAGCCATTTTTCTAGGCATATTTCATCTCGAAAATCACGAAATAATTATTTTTGTCTTTGATTTTTTGTACAAACATTTATAACTTTATAATCGTTTAATATGCACCAACTTCGCACTATATGATTTAAATGCCAGATCAAACGATACAATAGATTTGAAGTTTTATTTATATTTTATTCAAGATTTTGTAATGCCCGTCAATTGGCAGGGGTCCCAACTTTTTTGGATTTAAGCGGGGAATGTACTATGAAAATACTACTATCAATTTTTTAATAAATCCATAGTGTTTCAATACTCGTTTTTTTTTTAAATCTATTGCAAGACTTGAAAACCAACATTTAAGCCATGAAATGTTCAAAAAATAATAATTAAGTGATTAAGATGTTTCCTCTCCAATTTCATAAGAACACGACATTGTTTTACAATAAATATGTGAACTTTGGTGGAAATGTCCACTCAATTATTTTACAATAAAAATGTTTTTACAATGATTTAAAAAGGGGTTCGCATCAAAAATTGTATTCGTCGAAAACCCGCCGAACATGTAGAATTGATTTCATCGATTTTCTTCATTTTTATTTATATATTCTGGGCCGTCAAAAAGGAAAAGTGAATGCTTTGCAAGTGATTTGATATGGTATATCATTTTCCAAGACGCGAAAGAGACTTGAGATACCATGGCAAATGACAGTAATGAAAATCACTTTGATTTGATTAAATGTATCCGCAGTGTTTGGCTGAAAAGACGGTTGCCACACTCGATGTGAATTTCATCGAGTGAATTGGGTCGATGAGAGAGAGAGAGAGAGAGAGAGAGAGAGAGAGAGAGAGAGAGAAAAAAGAGTCAAAGATTGTTTGTCATGTGAATCGGTTTGTTGTTGCAGACGTCGTCTTCGCCTTCCTTCTCGTCAATGTTCTTGTAAGCCAGTTGGTATTTCGGTGAATGTGCCTCAAAAACAATTGACAACAAATAAAAACCACTTCATACTAATACAATGAACATGCCAAACATTGCCATCCCTTCGAATTTGTCTAAAGAAAACTTTGTATTTCATTTGCCTATATATGTGTGTAAGTTAAGAATGGAATTGGTTGTTTTTAAGTGTTTCGTTTGTGCAGGCAAATTGCACAATTTTCCGTTACGGTTTCGATGGGACCCAACAGCAATTTGAATCATTTTCATCTTATGCTATTTGATAATCGTCATGCCTTTAAATCCATTTTCATTTTGAATGTAGTGAACGAACACCTTACATTGTTCACCCCCCATGATTTCAAATCAGTGGTATTTTATTGCTCATTTTCTCAGTACAAACAAAAGATGAAGATGAAAAAAACATACACACATATACACAGGATAATTGTAACTTGCACCACGAAATCAAAAGCCTTTATGTTCATGTAAACTTCAAACGCAAAGGATTGACAACGACGACGACGATGACAGTCTCTTCGTTTCGTGTGCCCTTTTTTCTCAGTTTTTTTTTATTCGAAACGCTAACATAATCAAAGGGAAAAACTCGAACAAAATGAACAACAACAACGGCAAACCGTTTCTGAAGAAGATGATGGAAACAAGTTACAAAGAGAGCGTTTAACATCAAAGCTGGAATGTTGTATTGTCATACACAAAATTTATGTGTACGCTTTTTTTTGTAGCTACTGCTGATGTTGATGCTTTACTTTATTTTAGCTCTTTTCCCTGTCTCTCTTTCTCAAAACGCGGGTGTGTGTATATGATGTATATGTGAGTCAAACGTTTGTTCTTTGATTTTGTGGAGCAAAGAGAATTTTCGGCACACAGAATATGATGATGAGAGATTCAAATGTCTAAGATAAAGAGAGAACGAGATTGCGAATGATGAGAAAGACACAACAGCAACAACAAAAATGACGCACATCGAAAAATGTGAGAAATTATCGGTGA